TGCTTCCCCTTGCGGTGGTTTCTTTCGTCCACGGAGTCACATCCCCTGTTATGAGAGCCCTTGCAAGGAACGGCGAAGCTGCAGGCCAGTCCCAAATTACAAGTTTCTTCAAACCCGGGAAGGTCATCGACAAGCCATGGAAGGCAAAGGAACAGTCTCTAGCAGCCATGGAATTCGAGATCTAAGCTTTCACTCGAATTTTCTTCTTCATGCCTGAGATATTTGACCGCAGCATCCTGGAAAAGCATTCGAGGTACAAGTTCATGGACCCAGCAACAGCCAAAGAAGGACTCAAGACTCCATGCCCCCATTGTGGCACCAACAAGCATGTGTCTTTGGTTATCAGAAATGGCCTCAAGCTAGGCCAACACAGAGCAATTGCTTCCTTCAGGGGTCGCATACCAATGTACTGCTTCATCTACAAGTGTGACAATAAACAATGCACTGGAGGGAAGGCTCTGCTGCAGTGCTTTGAGGTCAAGCCAGAAGACCATGTGTTCCACTCCCACTACTGTAGCTAGCTAGCTTGGTGGTTGGGCCCCAAGGGGCCCAATCTTTATGGTTCAGAGCCCCCTACGGGGGCTCAACCTTTATAGTACTAGCTTAAAAAATTTTCCTAATAAAGCAGCACCCTCATCAGAACCGAGACTTCCTTTGGATCAAATACTAACACTCTCCCCAGAACACCGCATAACTGCACCTGTAGACAAAAGCACTTCATAGAAAGGTATAAATCAAATCAAGTCAAAAGCAGAAATGGCGTACAAAATTGACGAGAGAAACAAGAACTTATTTGCCATTGTCGATGACAAGATCGTGCCTCGATCGGAAGCCTCCATTCCAATTTGGGATGCTGGATTCCTCCATGGGAAACAGATTTGGAGCAGTCCGAGGCTCGTCAATGGAAAAATCTTTCGTTTGCAAGATCATCTCGATAAGATCCGACATGGCATTCAAGCCATGAATTGCAAAATTGTTCCCGACGATGCCGTCTTTCGAAAGGCCATTCGCAATGTGCTGGTAAGTAGGCGTACCGTAGCTTACCGCACGGCTACAAATAAATGTAATCCATGGTCAGCGTAAATGTCTCACTTTTTCTGACTCTTTCTATTGGAACTACAGGTTGCCAATAAAATGCAAGGGGCGACAGGAGTGCACATTCGCATTGTTTATACCCCTGGAACTCAAGTGACAGCCAGCATGAACATGAAAGCCGTCGTCAATTGGGATGGGACTCCCGCACCGCCGAGAATCATTGTCATGCCAGAATGGCGTGGCATGGGGACCATCTATGACACGGTCAAGGGTGAAAAAGCCATCATTTCGCAGTACAGGAGACCCTCTCCACAATTCGCCGACCAACGAATTCACAGCAACAACCAAATCCACTCGTCACTGGCATGTGATGAGGCCGTCCAAGCCGGTGTGGCAGCTGCGTTAATGTTGGATGCGGACGGGTTTGTAGCAGAAGCGCACGCCTCTCACATGGCCATTATCAAGGATGGCAAATTCTATACACCGCATGTTCGTTGCTGCCCCCCTGGTGTCACTCGAAAAGTACTTTTGGAGGTTTGTCAGTCCAACGACATTCCGGCCATGGAGGATGATATTACTGTAGAACGATTGATGGATGCTGATGAAGTCATGATTATGGGTACCATGTCAGGACCCATATCGATTACTCACGTGGATGGAAATGTCATTGGAGACGGGGAGATTGGACCCATGACGACACGGCTCAAAGCACTCTACAACGACGCCATGGCGGATGAGAAGAACCTTTTTGACATCTTTGCCGAAGAAGAGTGATGCTAGCTAGATATTGTAGTGTACTACCAGCACTGGTACTAGTGAATTCAACGCTCAACTATCGTGCTGCTCTGGTGACGTTTTTTATGGTCTTTCAGAGCTTTGATCTTGTAGTCTGTTGCGGTAGGACCATGAGGGGGTCCGGGAGTTGAGTTGGTCCAGGTACCGGTACTAGTCCTTGAGTTAGTCTGGGAGTGCGACTTGATGATGGACCTGCGTATGGCTGGATTATGGGGTGAGTGCGGCCTGCAACTGGAACTAGTCTGGAAGTGGACCCTCGTGTTGATCCTCGAGTGGGACCTGGTAATGGAGGAGCTGCTTGTGTTTCAGTTGTCCCTCCCTACAGAGTGACATGCGCTCTTTTTGGTCAAGGTGTGGTGAAGGCCCTGCCAGATACACAGTACCGGGTCTTTCCACTGTTATTGCCATCGGCCTACTAGCTAGTGAGCTACGGTAGCTTGCTAGATCTAGATTTCAATAATAGCTCCAATGCCACTCATTTATGTCTCCGTGGATCCAGCAAATACACGCCCTTCCACCCTTGTGTTGCTTCGACCCCGATCCAGAGACTTGCACAGACTTTTGCAAGATCGACGAGGAAGCCGTTTGAAGGCTCCGACATTCAGTCGTGCTCTCCTTCAATGATGTCATCCACCGGAAGATTGCCTCCACTCATCGCGATCTTGCGTGATGATGTGAGCAACGCGATGAGACAGCATCATTGGCCACTGCGCCATCGCAAAAAAGGACAGCAGCGGGTTTGACAGGCATGAAGGATATCTATTGGGTTTGGACAGTTAACCTAACTAATGATAGCTTTGGCTCAGCCCCACCATACCACAATACTTTACCAACGTTGTGGCTCTCACAATTTTAAAAACTTCTGTTCACCACAGAAAGCTACGACAACAAGTTCATCAATCCACCAAAACCAAAATGCAACGATCCGTTTTGCTTACCGAACTCCGCGTCAAAGTCACGGGAGCATCAGTGGACTATGTGGGGTCTATAACCATCCACGAAGAATTCTGCGATGCTTTGGGGTTGCTGGAACGTCAAATGGTCCACATTCGCAATGAACGAACAGGGGTTGACCTATGGACGTATGTGATTCGGGGTGACAACACCCCTGCCGGCACTGTTTGCTTGAATGGTGCTGCGGCTCATTTGGTCCAAGTGGGAGATGTTGTTTCCATCACAGCTCATGGGTTGGCAACAACAATGACAGAAGCAAGCGACAATCCACGGCAATGGGATGCCGTCCGAAATGGAGTGACCCAAGTGGTGGCGCGCATGGGAAAACCATCCGTTACGTGGGCCGACAATGTAATGCTGGAATACGCCCGTGGCAAAGTCCATCGTCCACGTGTCACAGAAGTAGTGTCGGGAGAGGAAAACAATGTGATCTTTCCCGGTTTGATTTTGGATTCGGCGTGGGCACAAGAGGGCGGTCTTTGTCATGGCGAGTCTGTGCACGTGGTCAGTGTAACCAATGGACAACGGGACATTCTGACGGTACGCCATGCTCCAAAAGGCAGCCAGCAATGTGCCATTCACATGGGACAAGCCAACCAGTTTGCCACGCAAGGCTACGGTTCCAGGCCGGGATATCAAGCAGGAGATATCATAATCGCCATGAACTATGGATACATCTCAAGAGCTGATGTTTTGAAAGGAAAGGCGCCGTCCATGAAAATTTGCTTTCCTTTTGAACGGCCAGCCGAAAACCCAGCGGACGATGATTTTGGTGCCAAGAGCAAGCTGTACCAACTATGGGATAAATCTGCAAACAACGGCAACAACAACAAGAGCAAAGTTACGCTGTAATTGTGTTCTCACACGATGGGTGTTTCTCCCGCTTTGGTATGGTTCATGTTCGATTAAAAATTAATATATACAATACTGGTTGAGCCGTCCACTGTCCAGGATCCAGAAAGTTACAGCGAGCTCTGTCCTCACATCTTTCAGCAGTGGTAAATTTCCTTTTACCACGGAATTGATATAATAAACGTTGCATGCTTTTTGTATGTGGAGAGTTTGGAATACGGACATTTCCGTAGTCTACTAGTAGCCTTCTAGGTCGTCAAAGCACAGTATATCTTGTACCGGGACTAAACAAGTAGCAGAAGTAGCGGCAGTATCCCACTCATTCAGAGTAAGAAGGGCGCTTGTTCCCCCACAATTCAGGACTCTGCCTCCTTTCTTCGTTCTAAAGCTTGTTCCTGGGGTCTGGCAAGCAAAGAACTGGCTGGTCTTGCCGTGGCACTCTGCCAGCTTCAAACCAGGAACTTTGGCCATAAAGGCCAGCCTTCACTCCTGGTCCACATCCAGACCAACTTTAGGACCTATTACTGGACCTGCCCCAAGTTAGTTCAACTCTAGCTAGTACGGTAGGCAACACACCTGGACCAACTAACGGACAGAAAAGCTCGATCTGGTCGATCTCCGGTCCCCACTCCTACTTGACTCGACTCGACCCGACCTGCTTGCACCTAACATAAACCCGTTATTAATAAACCTTGAAGCCCAACTTCGTCTATGACCGTACCGTAGGCATGCACCACCATTCCAACCACACCACTCAGCATGGTTGATACCATTGTATTCGAAGACACGCAGGAGAAGCTTTTCAATTCCACGCTATGGTACATGAAGCGTGGAGATTGTCGATTTCATGTGAGACTACTGGTACGGGAATGTTGCCACACGACCCATCTACGAACAGGAAGATCCCGAGCCCCAGCCAAAACTGCCCTTAAATCCCGTGGACAGTCTTGATCGTACCTAGGTTGTCCTTTAAGTAAAAGGTCCCGTAAATCGTCCCTTAAGAGTGAATCGTCCCTTAGAGGTAAATCGTCATACTACTCGTAGTACGATTTTATTAAAGAGAGTTCGCAAACAGTTATAATTTTTGGGTAAATCGTCCCTTAAACCGTCACTTAAATCGTAATCGTCCCTTAAATCGTCCCCTATCTTGTCGTGTTTGTTTTGTCGGGATCTTCCAGCCTCCTCAAAAGCAAGAGCACCTCGATGATGGCCATCGACATCTGGCCGATGAAACCTCGGGAATTTTCGTATCATGATGCCATGTACCACCAGTATGCACCAAAACCTGAAAGGACCTCAACACATCGCGAAACGGAGATAATTGGATTGTTTCGCGATGAAACGTATGATTAATCAAGGTGATCCATGACCATAAGATCGCATCTATAATTTCATCACCTTAGTGGTTGCTTTGTTCCGGATTACTTTTTCTTCTGTGAATTCAATTCCATTCCTATCCATCAATCCTCCACCATGGTCGACACGTTGGACAAGATTCTTGCGACGAACAACTTCTATGCCATTCTCGGCGTGACCTCGGATGCCTCCAAGTCGGAGATATCCAAGAGCTACAAGCGCCTCTCTCTAAAGGTCCATCCCGACAAGCACTCTTCCGGAACAGAGGACGTCAAGGAGAAGGCAAAGCGAGCCTTTCAAAAGTTAAATCAAGCCACCAAACTCTGTCGGATCCCAGTGCGCGCAGGCTATACGATGCTCAAAACCAACGGCAAGAAGCTAACCAACGACAAAGAGAGGCTGAGCAACGGCGACGAGAGGAACAACGCAAACGTGAAGAATGGCAACGTCAACAAGAGCAACAGCGGCGGGAAGCGGAGCGGAGACGCCAACAAGAGCTGACCGAAGACGACAAGAAGAGATACGTCGCCAGCAAAGACGCCAGCAAGAAGCCGAACAAAGGCGCCGAGAAGAAGAAGCGAACAAAGACGAGCCCAAGAGGAAGCATGGCAACGCCAACAAGAGCAACAGCGGCGGGAAGCGGAGCGGAGACGCCAACAAGAGGCTGACGAAGACGACAAGAAGAGATACGTCGCCAGCAAGAAGAACAAAGACGCCAGCAAGAAGCCGAACAAAGGCGCCGAGAAGAAGAAGCCGAACAAAGACGAGCCCAAGAGGAAGCATGGCAACGCCAACAAGAGCAACAGCGGCGGGAAGCGGAGCGGAGACGCCAACAAGAGGCTGACGAAGACGACAAGAAGAGATACGTCGACAGCAACAAGAACAAAGACGTCGAGAAGAAGCTGAACAAAGACGCCAGCAAGAAGCCGAACAAAGGCGCCGAGAAGAAGAAGCCGAACAAAGACGAGCCCAAGAGGAGGCATGGCAAAGACACCATCAAGAGGAACAAAGGCGACGCAAAGAACGATGTCAGAGAGAAGGAAAACAGCAGGCATCCGATGGCAGACAGGATGGAGAGAAGAAAACACAAACATTTGGCAGAAAACAGAACGGTGAATTCTGTAAAATTTGCATTGAACAGCAGCGATACTGTCATCACCACAAGAGCCAGGATCCATCTTACCAACACAGCCATCAGAGTGCTCGTCACAACAATCCACAAAACCAGGAAAACCACCCAAATCAGCAGCAGCAAAAGACGTTTGGCAAAAAACTCAATGGTGAATATTGCAAACGTTGCATCAATATGCAGGGATTCTGTTGGCAACACAAAGACCAGAATCCATTCTGCAATGCGAGCTCTTCCAACAGCCGTTCTCAACAAAAGGCTAGCAGCAACCAGCAACAACAACAAAAGACATTTGGCAAAACAAAAAGTGGAGAGTACTGCAAGAATTGCATCAAGCAACAACGATACTGCAGCCAACACAAGCGTCAGGACCCAGCATATTACCGTTGAGATTAAGAGCCATCCAACTGAGCGATCCTAAGGCTTGCTTTTAAAATAACCTCCTGTTGTAAACTTGCAACTTTACACGAGCATTGTCATGGAAGATTTTTTTCAGTACTTGCCTCTGTTGGCTCTCTTGTGGACTTCCTTGCTTGGCCCCTCTACTAGTGGTTAGTTATCACCTAGCTAGCTGGCTAGGCAGACACCGATTTGATGGCAAAGAAAGAAAAATAGTCTCGTTATGGATACTTACGGTAGTTATGAAAGATATTGAATGAAAAGCCCACAATAGCACCCCGAAATGCATGAGTATTCATGTGCCTGTCCATAGCTCTGCTTCATTTGATCACATTATTAATATTGCATGATGGGTGGGCTGGTACGGTAACATCAAAGGTTGGTCTACAAGAACGAAAGCAGACTTGCCGCCAACATCACAACTGCAGACTCGAGAAGTATCGTTTGTCGTGTTGACTTGGATTCCAATACACCACTGGGAACTTCTCTGTCACCCTTCAATTCCGCATCGCTGCTGCTTTTTTCGACATTCACCGAAGAGTCGTAACAGGGTTCTGTGCTGTTTGTGTCACAAGGCATGTCCGCCTCCGTCAAAAGGCACTCTCTGAGTGTCGCGTTGCATTCGTACTGATAGCAAGGGGAAGCACTGCAAGGGAGCAGAGGGCAGTCAAATGTACTATTGCATGGTAACGTATTGTTGTTGTTGTTGTTGATATGAAAAGATTCTCCCATGTCATCCTCTCCCGAGAGACAATACTCGTCGGTGCAAATAGAGCCACAGTGGCCGCAGCTTTCGTTGCAACATGGCTCATTGTAGCACGTATTTGGACCACAAGGAGTTCCCTGAGGCGCCACTGGATTATCACCGCCATCTGGCTTGGAAGGAGGTTGTGGTACACATAGACCACCATCACACACATTGTCATCACATGGTGCTGCAAAGCAACTAATGGGGGGACAGTCGCTATCTTGGGTGCATTCAGGATTTGGTGGGTTGGCCTCCACACCACAGGTACCGTCTATTGCATACGCAGCAGGGCATGGCGGAATCAAACAGTTGATCAGTGGACAGTCAGAGTCAATAGAACACGGAGTTTCTCCAGGAATTGCTAGATTGTCTCCATCGGAGGCGGGAACACAAAACCACCATCACAGACTTGGCATCCATGGGCTGCAAAGCAAGTGATCTGGACAGTCACTATCTTGGGACATTCTGGTTTGGTGGGTTGGCCTCCACACCACAGGTACCACTATTGCATACAGCAGCAGGGCATGGCGCAATCAAACAGTTGATCAGTGGACAGTCAGAGTCAACAGGAACACGGAGTGCTGCACCTGTGTTGGGAGTTTCTTCGGTAGGATTCTCTTCAGGTTTTGCTAGATTGTCTCCATCTGGAGGCCGAGGAACACACAGACCACCATCACAGACGTTGGCATCACATGGTGCTGCAAAGCAAGTGATTTCCGGACAGTCACTATCCTGGAGGCATTCTGGGTTTGGTGGGTTGGCCTCCACACCACAGGTACCATCTGTGCAGACAGCAGCAGGGCAAGGCGCAATCAAACAGTTGATCAGTGGACAGTCAGAATCCACAGAGCAAGGTGTGTTGCTACCAGGAACATCACCAAAGCTAGTTGCAGCTGGGCCACTCAAAAGGCGGAATACCACTGCTATCGCCAGTCTTCTAATCTTCATCTTGGAAAGTGATTGCTGTTCGTAGCAATGAAACAAAGCAAATGAGCTCCCCATCCATCAAACCGATATCCCACACTGCCGTGGCTCTTCGGGCTTCGTTTTGCGCTCCACCAAAACCTGGGCAATCGTGTGAGGCAGTCCTGGAAGAAAATTTCGGATACGGTAAGATTAAGGGTAAAAGTGAGATGTGATTGAATTCAAAATGAAGCAATCACGGTTTGGACAATGTCGGCACTATCTACCTACCGGTGTACCCCACACACCGTAGTACCGTAAAAGTACTTACTTACCATACCGTACAACATCAGGCGTGACTGAGGACTCCCCCGGGGCATGGAGAAAATCAATGCCAACCCATGCCTACGTACCACTGCTTTCAGTCATGGGATGGATAACTGCCAACCACTGTCAACCACTGTTTCGCGAAACAGTGGTGCCTTTCAACATGGCCTACCACTGTCTTATCACTATCTTTACGACTTTTTCGGCACTCTTTTCCACTATTTACCACTGTCAAAAAGATAGTGGTTGACAGTGCCACTGTTTACCACTGTCTACCACTGTCTTGATCATGGTTTACCTTGGTTGACATTGGATGGCACTGGATTTCTCCACCTCCCCGAGACTCAACTGCGTGGACCAACAAACACTCAAGGGGATCAAGTAACAATGGGTCGAAGCCATTGTTTTCGCGATCTTTTGTTTGAGGAAAGTTGTGACTGTCGCTCGGGCCTTTTTCCTGCTGTTTCGATGCGAATAAGTGGTGGTTTGTTCCCTTTTCTGGATGACCTCTTGTCTCTTTCGCGATGAGGTGGCTCCAGCTTTGTTCTTGGTTGGTAATGGGCTTCCGTTTTCTGAGAAGGGTGTTTTTGCACTTGGCCAGTAGTTGGCGGAAGGTGGAAGATGTGCGAGATGCTTTCTAGATCTTGCTGTGCAATTAAATTTGCAAGATCAACACCCGAACTAATAGTAGCTTGCTCTCATGTGATCCATACGACTCTGGCCATCTGTCGATGGAGGCAATTGCAGCCAATTGGCCATCCAATGCTCCGATAGCTGCTCCGATGCATACTCTCACTTCCAACAACTAGACTACATGTGCCAGGAAGCACCACACCACTTCAACAGGCTCTGGCTACTACTAGCTAGAGTACTTGTATGAGCTTCGTATGTATGTTAGCTGTATTCACCTTTTAGATTCCAAGGTACCAGTGCCCTACTAGTACCGCAGTACACGCCACACGTTTGTGTGCAGATTGCAGATACCGGCACTATTGTACCAGTGGCTACATGCGTCTTCGTACTGGGAGACCTCTCTTTGAGTGTGATGCACTCCTCCATACTGAACCTACGAACTCCACCTTTATTTCTTTTTCGACCGAAGGAGTCATACAAATTTTTCTGCTTATTGCCGTTGTATGTCTATGACTGTCTTTGTGTCTCCACAACCAAGAAGAGTGAGGTACGTCAGCGCATAATTGCTTCTCGAAAGCAACAAAGGTTGTGATTTCTTTATTTCTAGCCATTACTATTGGGAGAAACGATGTTGACGTGGTATCGCAAGGCTATATCAATAAGTGGCTGGGCTATTGGCAGTGGCAATCGACGACTCCAAAAACGCCAGTTCTTTTTACAAAAACCTCCTTATGAACTCGACGACCTAGCTAGCTAGCTAGCTCTATGAGGTCAGCTATGAGGTCTCTATGAAACTGGTGTCTTCAATTTGCTAAGCCATCGCAGATATCCTTGGGGTTGAACAGCCTAGCAACTTTCTCTGCATCCACTCTTCATTGGATCGGATTGTTGTGTTGATTCATTATTGTTTCATTTTTTCCCACCTGCATGCATGCATCTGCACTTTGTGTCTCTGCCTGAATGGAACAATCTCACAATAATACTAGTAATACTAACCGACGGACCATGGCACCCAACCCTTTTCAAACGATCGCCAACATGGATGTTGTGCTGAATCGCGATGGCAGTTCTCGGGCAGAAGGATCGTCGAATCCGTCGGGAGAAGCCGTGACGCTGGCGACGTCTGGCAAAATGGGCCGAGACGCAGACAGCGTCATGCGGCATGTGTCGAGTGTGGCGGGTCCCAAAACCTATCAGGATGATGTCGCTTCTTCTGTGGGATCCTATGCCCCCACCTTGGCGACGAATAAACATCATGCTGGTCTTCTTCGAGACAGCAGCACTAACAACCACTCGTCGATCATGGACTGTTCCAACCGGGCACGGGTATCCGACTCGGCCAGGATGGCGGCAGCGGCCAATCTAGCCACGGCGGCGATGAAGGATCAAAGCGAGAAGGAAGACGAGAGTGTCAATTGGAATGATGGAGTGTCATCGGTTGGTTCCTTCGCACCCACTTTGGCCAAGTTGCATTCCAGCAAGGCATCCTTGGCAAGCACCCATGTGGGAAGAGAAGAAGACAATAGTAGCAGAGACGAAAATAGCAGAGAAGACAAAGTTGAAAAGGAGCTTACCGACAGCAATTTAAGTATTGAATATTCGGATAGTACCGACCAGAATACTGCAAAACGCAGCATGGGTCGGGAAGCCAACAGCTACAATGAAGATGACATGATTTCATCGGTGGGTTCCTTCGCCCCAACGTTGGCCAATAAGTCAACCGCGGGCGGAAAAACTGCGGCAACCAAAGAACTGAACGACGATTCGTTCCACCTGCAACAAGAGCAGGAAAAGAAGCAGTTCCCGTCTTCTTATAGTGTGGTATCTTCGGTGGGGTCCTTTGCTCCTACATTGGCCACCAAGGGCACCGTCAAAACCCTCAAGAATCAGTGCATTGGGGTGGATGGCCGCCATGCGGATGATTATGACGATGGAGTTTCGTCCATTGGCATGTCCAAGGCTCCCACGTTGGCCACACATCGCTCCAAGTTCACATCCACTCCCAGCACTGCCTTTAAGCACAAGGATGTCAGGGTGGAAGACGACGAGGTTTCCGCGGATTATTCCGCCTTGGGGTCTCGAGCGCCAACGCTCAGTGGAAAGAGCCCGGGTCGTCAGCCGTCGTCGATGCCAAAGAGTTCTCTCCGAAGCAGTAACACCAAGAAGAAGGAAACCAAAGAAGCAAAGGACGTGTTCAGTGCCGCTGACAGTGGACTGAGTTTTGACCACTATGCTTCTGACATGGCTCTGTTGGGGGGAGTCTTGGGACGTGAGAATCTCAAGAGTGGTCTGGAAGACGTTGTTGGATCCTTTTTGCGAAAAGGTGCCATTGCAGGGTTTTGCCTCTGGCTGTTTCTTCTCGTTGTCATTGTGTGTGTTGCACCGCTTAAATCCTATCAGTACATGAATGGACCAGAGCAGATTGCAAATGTGATTCTATTGACGCTTCTTCTGGTTGTGAACTTCAATCGCATTGGCCCTTATCTGGTCAACGATCGAAACTACAACTTTTTGACAAGCGGAGCCATGATGGCATCTTGTGTCGTGCAGGCCGTTGCCATTTTTTCCGTTTTGGCCATGCTGATTCTCCCCACGCCAGTGATCATTGATCCTGTTGTTGGGGTCCGCTGCCATTTGGTCCGCTGGGCTGAGTGGACAGCTCTTTCCTTTGTCATGACATTTTTGACGGAAAGCATTGACTTGCCGTTGGAAGATGCCAGTGCCAAGCATGCCTGGTTCACCGCATCCATGATCGCCTTGAGTACTGTCTGCGGAGGCGTTCTCGGTTTCTGTCCCAACGTTGCATCGTGGTGGTTGGTCTTCTCCATCTCTTGTGCTCTATTCTCTGTGCTGTACTTGCGACTGCTTTGGAGGGGATTCAGACTGTTGCGAATGCCCAAAGCTGTCACAACATCGGACAAAGAAGACTACGAGAGAGCCAAATATGCTTTCAAGCTTCTTATTGTCTGTACTTGCATTTGGACTTTCTTGGTTGTGGCATGGACAGTGTGCGCTCTGGCTTACCAAATTGCAGAACCTGGAAGCTTCTGGGCCAACGATTGGCTCATTTTGGCCGTCGAGAACTTTTCAGAAGCCCTGTCAAAGATTGGGTACTTGAGTATTTTGCTGGAAGTTCATGAGCTGTTGTTTGATGATGTTTCACACACAGCACGAAGGCTGAGCGAGTTGCGCGCGTACATGTCAGCTGTATGGGATGCTTCTACCGACGTCGTAGTGATCTGCTCCAGTCACAACCATTTGGTCAATGCCGCAGTGTCTCCATCCTTTTTCCAGATGGAGAGTGCGTTTGGGTACTACAAGCCACTAAAGGAGAAACCAGGAAATATCAGTCATGAGCAGACCACCCTTGTCATGGAAGTCGACCCCTACGAGGGATCTTATCGAACTTACGAGATGAATCTTTCCAAACCAATGTCACGCCATGAAGCCGATGCAATGATGAAGAACAGCCGGAAGAAGGCTCGGATGGTGACACCGGTGTACGAGAAGAACCTCAAAGTGTTGTCTGATTTGGTTTGCGACGCCTGCGCCATTGCAGTCCCTGATGGTCAAAAGCAGTACGAGGTAATACAGGACTTTTATTGCCTCGACCAGTACCGCAATCAAGAAGTCTTGACCTGCCAGGCCAAGGTTGTCAAACTCAAGGACAAAGCGTTCCTCATCGTTCTGCGCGATGTCACACCACGCCACTACATTGAAGAGAGCCCGGGAGAGGTCGAGAGTGCGCACATGGGTTCAAACGCAAGTGTTTCATACAGTATCGGTTCTCGAGTGAGTTCTCGGGCTAGCAGCTCTCGCTCCGGTCATAATCCAACCGCTCTGGCAACCCCTCTGGGCCTATCCTCAACCCCGCTTGAGCTGGATTCAACCCCACTCGGTCTAGCCCCTGCTCAAGACGATTCAACCCCACTCGGTCTAGCCCCTGCTCAAGACGATTCCAACCACTCAACCCCCCTGGGCCTTGCTCCTCCGGGTGATGACGATGACGTTGTTTTAAACAAGCACACTACCCCGCTTGGCCTAGATCCCAGTGTCGACGACAGTCATCGCACCAGGAGTACTGCGAAGCTGGACGAAAGCGCAACCCCGCTTGGTCTAGATCCCAATGTCGACGACAGTCATCGCACCAGGAGTACTACGAAGCTGGACGAAAGCGCAAGTGGTGTCGAGGTCGTTATTGCCAGCCGTGGAGGACAAAACTTGTTTATTGCCAGCCGTGGTGGACAAGACGTGAGTGGTGGACAAGACTTGGGTGTTGGAAAGGATACTGGTTCTGAAAAGTTACAGGAAGAGCCATTATTCGCCAAGGCGGGCGGAGATGTCACAGCGCGCTGTATGCCCAAGCAACAGGTATGCATCATACAGTGATTGGTTGTTTCGTCGGCTCCTTTGCCCGCCACAAGAGGTCTATCGAACCATCAAGCGAACTCAATCAATTATTGTTCTTTATGTCAACGACACTGTCCATGGGTGTTTTGTTTTTAGCCTATGCAACCTGAAGAAGGGGAGGAAGACGGCAACGAGACAAAAAAGACGAAATAAATGAGCAGGCCAACACAACGACAGCGACAAACCAAAGAGCACGCACAGCACAAAGGAAGGGGGCACCTGCCGTACAAAAAACTTGATGAGAGGACACAAACTGAAAGAAGAGACACTCTCAAGCTATTTTTGATTTAGTAAATAAAGTGCATCACAGTCTTTGATGATAGTCTTCTGGATGACAACGTTGACGAGTGCGAATGCTCACAAGTCTATCTAGATAGCCGGTCTTTAGGTTGAGCTTGCGCTGTGCATTGCATTCCTCCGCTGATGCCCAGCTGTCTTCTACCGTATGTGCATGCCGAACGTTGGGTTCATCTCTTGGTTGGCTCCCCAGCGAGGGCAGACTTCAATCATCGTCTTCTTCATTTTGCAGTTGTCGCACAGAATTCACCGACACAAGCTCGACCTCCCAAACAAGTGGAGTATTGGGTGGAATTCGGAACAACTTGTTGCCCTTTTGGCCATAGGCGAGATTGGGCGGGATCTCGATCACCCGCTGTTCTCCCGGACACATGTCGACGACCCCCTGGTCCACCCCTGGAAGCATATCACCACTGCCCAGCACCATTTGATAGGGACGTCCCGTCCCCCGAAATTCCGATGCATCGTATATAATTCCATCTGTACGTTGAAGACGTGCTGTATAGTTGATTTCCAAGACATCATCCCGACGACTCTTGATACGACAATTTTCGGCCTCTTTGACGACACGTCGAACGTAGGAATTGGACGCCGTGGAGGGTGTTGTTGTCGTTTCAGAGTTTTCAGTTTTACTGGTTTGCACCGCGACGGTGAGTGCATCTTGGGCCGTTAGAGCTTCTCCCAGCTCCCCATTGCTAGCATCTAGATTGTAAAACTGTAGTTCGATAGGATACGGTCCTTGTCTGATGCGATTCAGGACAGACATGGCGTTGGGCCAATCCTTGAGTACCAATCCAGGTTGTAGCTTGAGATTGGGACGGTAAGTCAAGACTTGCTTGATGGCCACTACTTTTCGAGAGGGGCTTCCAATAGTCACCTCGTACAACACCAGGCCTGCCTTGTCCTCGGGTGTGTCCAATCGCAACACGACTGGAGGATCATCATACGCGGCGTTGCACAGTGGAGGTGTCGCTACTAGACCAGTGGAAGCCACAAGAACGAGATTCAAGATATCACGTCGACTGTTCCTACAGGGTGGCAAAGAAAGGTCGCGGTCTTCTGTCGGTGCAAGCGTTCGGCGGATAGAAGCATCAGGAAATGATAGCTGTGGCAAGGAAAAGGAACAAACTGATCCGATGGGAAGAAACAGAATGACGGTTCCCGCAAAGAGAAGACGAAACACTGTTGGATGTGGTGATTGGTGTTGCTTCATCTTACTTTTGTGTTTTATGACTGACTTGGCCGATCTCTTTAGGTTCCAGCTTTTGGAGCTTGTTGGTGCTTTTGGATTTTTACTGATGACGTTGAAGGAGGATTGGATCCACGAATGGATCCGCGAGTAACGAGGAGCGAGGTGAGAGCACCCAAAATGCCTCTGCACACACAACCGGCGGATGGAACGGAAATGAGCGATCCAACTAAACTCTCGCAAGGAACGCGAACGTCGTCATGATCAGTACGATTGCTTTCTAAAGGAGAGCTTTACGCGGTGTTCGGTAACACAAGCAAGAGAAGACAACCATATCAACAAAACACTCAACAGCATCGAGTCGAGTGACAGTCTCAGTCAGTTCCTTTGTATCCCAACGCTGCACCTGCCCTTTCGACACAATGAGAGTTCCTAATTCAAGTTTGCTCTTGGCGCTCTTCCTCTTGACGCCCGACACAATCATCCCTTCCCACGCAACATCATCCCTTCGAGGTCTCCAAGGAAAACCTTGTTCGACAACCTTTGAATGTCCACAGCCTGCTTGTATCGCGTCTCCGTGTCCTGTAAATTATTGCGAGAATGGCGTCTGCGCCATTAACGTCGACGAGGAAGCTACTGTGCCCGGTGTGTCCGCCCCGTTGCCCCTGACGAGTTGCAGTGATGACACATCCTGCGCCCCAATCCAATGTTTAATTCCGCCATGCGATGAAAACAAATGCATCGGTGGCTACTGCACGCTCCAACCGGCAGATCGAGAAGACGATATTCCAGAATCATCCGACAGCAATAACGCAACCATTACCACTGGTGGCATTCCCTGTGGACCAACAACTTGCACTGATGATCAAGTCTGCTGCAACGAGTCCTGCGGAATTTGTACGGATGAAGTTGGAGTTTGCACCGATCAGGTATGTGGTGGCGATGATGCAGATGGTGGAATACCCGATGGAGAGGAGGAAGGAGTTGCCTGTGGCACCACAACCTGCCAAGACGGTCAAGTTTGTTGCAATCCATCCTGTAGTATTTGTACCGAAGTGGGCGGTGCTTGTACGTTTCAATTGTGCCTCGATGGAGTTGATGGAATTGACAATTCTGTCGGTGATACGCCAGAAGATGATGGAAGCTGGATCACAGTTTCGCGTGGGGCATGCGACTGTACAGAACTCTGCTCGGTTTGTCAAGTCAGGTTTGGTATTTGCATCAAACTCTATTGTTTCCCTTAAGAAACAGCACAGCAGAAAGAGTTGAAGCAATGCAAAAACAATCAACTGCATGAATGAATGTACTTGCTTTGGGTGTACATATACAATAAACAAATTTCATCTTGGATGGGTGGCCATGGTTATTTTGCAACCGTAGAAAACAGCCAGGAGGCTGAGGTAGGCAACTTCCGTGCATGTAAGATTGTAGTTACATCGTATGCATTTGTTCCATGATGACACCGGTGTTACGGTGTTACAGCACAGGGGACAGAATTCAAGCAACCTGAAAACAATCAACTGCAGAAATGCACATCCTCGATTTGAGTGAACCAAATATAAATTTAATCCTAGTTAGATGGAGTAGGCCATGGCCGGGTTGCATCCATGAAAAATTGTAATCATGCATTTGATACATTATGACACCTGCAGACTGCACTGCACGACATACTAGTAGTACAGAGCTACCGTCGACTACCAGTACCGGTTGGATAATTAATTTTTCTTCATCGGAAGAGGCCAAGGGTAAAATGTCGTTCAGATCAAATCCAAGAGATGCAAAATCAAGGCCAACGCCATCACCGGGTTCCTACACGTACTTTGACAAAAAGGAACCAACATGATGTACGGTAAACCCTTTCACGTTGTGTAACGCGATGGATAATCAAGCTTGCAGAAACAAAGGAAATCAAAATTTAACATAGCTGCAACGGTTAACCAGCAGGACGCAGGAAGGAACAAATGCAATAGAAGCAATTTTATCTGCAGACCAAGCGCTTAGTCTATATTATTTGGAATTGTCCGTTACCAGTGAATTAATCCCCGGCAAACCGTAATAGCGCACATAGTCTACTAGCGGCTAGTTGAAGGGTCCGTAGGAAGCGGGCATTGTGACATCCTTGGCAGCTAATTCGTCGTACCACTTTGCGACAGCTTCAAGACTTCGAACTTTCTTACGCACAGCCATAATGTTGTCGAGGCCTGAGTCAATTGCATCCAATGGCACGCCATCGAAAATGCCAGACGTCAAAGCACAGCAGCCTGCAAAGACGAACAAGTCGGCTACCGTCAGAGAATCTCCCACTGCATGCCCGTTCTTGCCGTTGGCAGCAATGAACTTGTCCACTGCCTCCAACATGCCATAAACGACACCGCCCTTGGCCATAGATTTGGCACGAGCAGCTTCCTTCTCTTCTTGCGGGAGCCCCTGTCCCTGAGAATTGAGCTTGGGATTCATATCTTCACAGGCATCCATCAGGGAATCGATCAACGCCGCTTTCAAAGGATCACTGGGATACAATCCAGTTTCTTTACCAACCAATCGAACAATAGTACGCGACTGTCCAATTTCGACTCCGTTGGACAGCTTCAGGAGAGGCAAGGATCACCACGGAGTGCTGGGTTTGAGGTCCTTCCACTTACTAAACTCAATGCGATCGTCGTCGAATGGAATGCCACCAATTGCCAGAGCCAATCGAGCCGCCTCCGCACGTCCAGCCAAAGGGAAGTACGTCAACTTGCAACCTTGAAGTAGCGTCATGGTATTCTTGAGCAAAATGGTTTCTGAAAATCGAATGGGGAGATATCTTTTCCTTTATTTTTGTGAGGGTGGATCTTTTCTCCTTTTTTTTTCTTTTCTCCTGGAGCTCGACGCGAATGCAGGATGATGCTGGACCTCTGTGGAAACTCAAGTTGTGCTACTTTTCGTCTCCTAAATCCTTTTGATCGTCTCCTATTTAATGGATTTCGTCTCCTAAAAATAGGAGACGAAACGGATCGTCTCCTAAATCTTTTGTCTCCTCTTAAAACGTCTCCTATTTTCAACGGATCGTCTCCTATTCTCAACGGATCGTCTCCTAAGTGTACTATGTAAACTGTATGGTATCGTCTCCTAAATCTTTCGGATCGTCTCCTATTTCGAAATTTTCGTCTCCTAATTGTAATGTCTGCTACTGAATCGTCTCTTAAATATAGGAGACGATTGCTTTCGTCTCTTAAATCATTTCGATCGTCTCCTATTCCTCGGTGTATCGTCTCTTAAGTATTTTGCCACGAATGACGTTTCCACAGAGGTCCTGTGCCGAAGCGGTCTGCGGTGGGTTCGAATGAATTCGAATGAATTCGTCAGAAGGATCTGAGATGAGAAGGATGGAATTCGATTGAGTTCGTAAGAACGACACCAATGATGTCACGTACACAACCGCCAATAGGAAGTTCAGGTACAAATAGTTTACTCCATCTACCAGCGTTCCGAAGTGGCATGATAAAGTTGGTGATCTGTTTCAGTAAAATTTACTTAATCCAGTCACTCTTTGCTAAAATCGTATGATAAATTTGAGTTTGACACAAAGATTAGTAGAATTATGTTCTACTGCGCCGAAGGCATGCTTTTACTTCACTAGGAAAGACAGGCAGCACTACTGGCCGCCTGTTCAAGTAGAAGGGTTTCTCATGTGTAGCATGAGGACTGTACAAAAATAAAAATAAATCCAGAGAAAGGAAATAGAAAATGGTACCAGGTAGCAGGTTCTTACCCCGATCGTTGCATTACATCCTGCGCCCTGGGTCATCGCTCATTCAAGGGAAGTGTGCATAATGATCCAAAATGATGAGGTACTGCCGTTGCACCGAAGATAATCGTAGTATTGCTGCCCAAAGCAGTGGTTCTGAAGTGGTTGACATTTATTCTCAATCCAGCGCGCTGTTGTGGGGATTTCTGCATCACTCAGGTTGTTGCCACAGTGAATGCTGAATGGAGGGGATGTCGATTTGCTCAAGGTATTAATGTTGCTGATGAAGTAGTTGACTTCCGTTCTGGTCCAATGTCTTGTCCGATTGCTTTCCCATGAAGACTCCGATGTGGGAATTTCTGCTCCACCCAGGTTGTTGCCACATTTGAGAGTGCATGGAAAGAATCAATGGAAGAAGTTCCATTGTGGGGATTTCTGTTGACCTCAGGTTGTTGCCACTATGGGTATTGGATGGTAGAAGGGTCATTTTGGTCGGTTTTTCGGATTGGGGGCTTGGGAGCATCAGCTCCAGTATTCCATTAGGTTCATAAGCGTTGATAGTAGTGATTTTCTTGTTGTAAAGTGTATCGGTGTGTTTTCCATGGTGTAATTGGTCGTGCCGTTCGTCATGGTCGATCTTTTTATTGTTTTCTTTTATTATTCTTGTAATTTCTACGCAGATTTCTACGTGTTTTGAGTACTGGGTCATTATTAATTTAGTCATTCAGATAAAACCAACACTGGAATTATGAAGTGGCATGATAAATTGTGACGTTTTGACCGTGGAAGTCAACCTCCAACACCAACTGCTGGCACAATGAGCTACCGTGGTTCTCTCTGGGATGCCGATGGTGCACTTGCACTCTTCCACTAATTTTACTCCCTTGTTCTTCCTGGTTTTCCTCCATGCACCCCCCTTCCCTGCCCCCCCTTGTTTTGCCCTGCTCGCGTCCTCATTAGACACCACCATTATTACTAAAGGATAATGACTAAATCTTGAACTAACCACCTAAAGGATTCCTTTAGTCGCTACTTTAGTCCCTCCGGTAGAGAGCGGCCTTAGTATTTATTTTCACAACGCATCATGGTTGGTGTGAAGATCTCGAGCAGTCCTGAACCACTGCCCTCCTCCCTCGCATGCAACCCATCCTCACCATAGACTAGTCCATCTAACCCACGCATAGAAACTTCCCCGTTACCATCAAGCGACCGAGCTGTGCTGTGCCTTGGTTCGATCTTTGGTTTGATTCAACTGAGATCCCAAGCAAGCTACAAGCAAGGGAAGATTAGCATTATCGTTTAGACAGCATAGACGCAAAACATGGTGTCAATGCAAAGAACAGGGAGTTCAACCCCATCTTCCACGCAATTGGCGGGGTATCTGCCCGTTGGAATCCTCCTCCTTCTTCTTTGTGCGCTTGTGCCCTATGTCTTGGAAGACCATTATTACCATAGGGACTCCACGTTGCATCACATTGACGCCGCCATGATTGGAAAAAAGAAGGTCATGGACAAGCAGCCAATATCGGACGTCCAGAAGAAGGAGACACCCGAGGAACCGAAAACGGAAGGAGAAGCAGACGAGTCAGAGTCAATCCAATGCCCCTATAAAAGCATTGACGATTTGACCGAAGAAGAGCATCATCCTGTCAAAGGAAAAAGACACACGGTCACACCGCCACAAGGAGGCTCTCTACATTTAGTGTGCTGTCAAACCACCAAAGGTCCCGTCAATGCACTCGTTCATGAGAAATGGGCCCCATTGGGCGCCAAGCATTTCCTGGACATGGTCAAAAGTGACTACTTTTCATCCACCGTGCCCCTCATGCGATGTGTCAAGGGATTCATATGTCAGTTTGGATTGAATGGGGATCCCAAACTCAACAAAATGTGGAGGCACGGCTTTCCAGACGATCCCAATTGGCTGCCGGAAGGACCCACCAACCGAAAAAATGAAGATGGAGTCTTTCGCTTTGCTCATGGATACCTGGCATATGCCGGAGGAGGCAAGAACTCTAGAGGAAATCAATTTATCGTGGCACTCAAACCCAACCAAAAGCTGGCAGGTGGATCTCCCTGGGAAGTTCCATGGGGAGAATTGGTGGGAGAACATTCCTTTGACACGTTTTCCAAAGTCTACACGGGCTACGGTGAAAAAGGTCCGCCACAAGGGAAACTTTCCAATCAGGGTGTGACGGAAGAGCTCAAACAACAATTCCCACTCTTGGATTATGTTACTGGTTGCCGCATTGTGGATGAACGGGTGGAATGAGTCGAGTCGAGTGAAACCGAATGTTACCAATACAAAGAGCAAAAATGAACAAGAATGGTTGTTCTTTTGCGTGCTCCGTTCTGCCGGTATGCATCATGTGCTGCTTGGATTGTAGCAATGGATTCCTGAAAGTTTGAACGAAAGCCTTCCAGAAAACACACGAAGGCTTGCTACAAATGAAAGATCTATATTTGCATGGGCCTGAACAAGGAGTGCGGAAGGAAACTGACTTGACATTTGGGACAATCGTATCAAATGTACGATCAAACAGAAGTGTCGTTAGGCCTCCAGCAGAATACGGCGGGATCACCACAACCACCCTCAAATTATTGTTGCAGCGGCAAGTTGACGGCAACCTGTCGGCCAACAGAGGTATTAAACTGCTCTAAATCCATTAGCATCCAAGGGCTGACTAGAGCATGCATTTATTATTAGCTAGCTCAAAAGATTCGATTCCATCCTGTCCACCAAAGCTATTCTAGCTTGCTGGGCAAAGGCAGGGAAGACAACAGCAATCAGCGGCTTCACATGTAACCTGATCCCCTCAATGCCACCGATACCGATTGCGTCAGCTCGTGGTCTACCGTCCGGTATGCGCCTCACAATGCAACATCCCAATTATGTTATGTCCATGTGGCTAGATAGATATGTCGGCATACGTAGGAGAAAGCTCCGTTCCATACGGTAGTACCTTGCGTGCAACGTGAACGTTCTTAAAGTCCGGGGCCTTGCAGTCTCCGTTTCTTGATTCTCACCATATTTGTGTCACTCGCAGTTCCATCCGAGAAGGACTCGATGCTCTTGTTCATGATTCCCTCCAAAGCAGATTCTACCGAGGTTTCGTAATCATACTTGAATCTGTCGTTCTTGAAACTGTGAGGATGGGTGTCCCTGTTGTTGACTGAAGACAACGAATTGTTGCGAGACCGGTCTAGATCGCTGCCGCCGAATCATCCCTTTCCATGGGCGGTCGCTGCGAATCCTTCGTCCTTGCCACGGTTTTCCCAGCCTCCATCCTCTGGGCATCAGGGTTCTGTTGCTCTTGCTCGCTGTTTTGTCCCTGATCGCTGCTGCCACTGGATTGTCCTTGCTCGCTGTTTGTCAAGGATGAGACCTTGGAAGATGAATTGTCATGCGAGCCTTGTCTAGACGATTCCTGGTCGCTCTCGCCTCGGTTTTCAGTGGCGGCTTTGGCTTTTGCAGTGTTTCCTGATACCCTGTGATTGCTCGTTCCTCCCAAATCCTGTTCCTGATCACTGCTCTGGCCTTGATCACTGCATCCACTAGACTGCCCTTCGCTGCCGGAATTATCCCTTGTCAGAGATGAGTCCTTTGAGGATTCAAAGTCATCCATTTCCCCCCGAGACGACTCCTTAGGCTCTTGGTCACTATCAACCCGGCACGGTGATCTGAGCGACGACCCTCCCTGCAGAGGCGGGCCCGGCCTTGAATGGTGCTTCGGATGTTTGCGATTGTGTTGACGGCGTTGGTTACCACTGCTGGCACTGTCAAAGGAGTACTCCGAACCGCTTGGATCATGTTTTCGTTTCTTGAATGGAGCGGTTGGTCTGGAAAACGCTTGATCCTGTGCAGCGGGTTTTTCCATTTCCGACGTGTCCACGTCCACCATCTTGGCAGTCAAACACCACCGTTTTTGTCTCTTGTCCTGGCGGGCGGACAACTTTTGCTGATCTTGCTTTTGCTGCTTCTCTGTGCGTTGTTTTTCGCGCTGTTTTCTCTGGAGTTCTTCCCATTCCGTAAAACTTTTCGATGCCACTCCGGGGTTCGCTGATTCTGAATCTGTCGTGGTCGAAGAATCGTGTTCGGTTGTGATCGAGCTAGGAGTTTCAGTGGTATCTGAGCCCCGCGGCCTCGTTGCTACTGACTTTGGGAGTCCAGTAGAAACACTCTTTGGAGCAGCTGAAGCTCGTGAAGCTGGAGTAGTGTCAGTGACCACAGCATTCTGGGAGGCAACGGGCTGCACTTGATGCATTATGTCATCAGTTTGCGCCTCAGAATAGTCCAAGCTTTCCCTTGGTGTTTGTCCTTGTACATTCATATTCGCAATGGCCGCGTTTGCCGCAGCAGTTACCAACGCAGTTGCTGCCTTGGCGATTGCAGTGGCAGCCACAGTGGGGTGTGAAGATCCAAAGAGCACTGGAGATAACGCATTGTTCACAAGCAAAGGGTTGGCCAGCATTGATGGAAACTAGCATTCAAAGTTGTGGCAAGCAGCGTGAGGACGGCCGGCACAAGGCACAACTCTAACCACAATGATTACTAACTTGCTCGAGAAGCTGCTTTTGGAGCATCTGCATGAGCTGCTCTTCGCGAAAATGTTGCTGGGTATTTTGTTGCGGTTGTGGCTGCCTATTTGGCTGTTGGGCATTCTCCCCCTCATGTGGTTGAATGTTCTGCTGCTGCAAGATGCCTGGCTTCTGTGGTTGAATGTTCTGTTGCTGCCGGGCACTCAGTTGCTGTGATGGCTGACTAGTTGACTGTTGCTGGCCATTATGCCGTTGTTGTGGTTGAATGCTCTGCTGTTGTGAGATGTTTTGCTGCTGTGGTTGACTACTTTGCTGTTGCTGATAGCTCTGTTGCTGTAATGGCTGACTATTCAAATGTGCATTCTCCTGTTGTGGAAGTTGAAGGCTCTGCTGCTGTGACACACTTTGCACTTGTGATTGAATGCCCTGGCGCTGCAGTGTGTTTCCATGCAATAACGGCTGGATATTTGACTGTGGCTGCGAAGTCTCCTGTTGTTGTTGTTGTTGTTGCGGCGTTTGAATGTTCTGATGTTGCGACGACTGCGAATTTTGCGGCTGTTCCTGTTGGAAGCTATACAAAATCTGTTGCTGAAGGCGCTGGAGAAGCTCAAGTTCCTGGTTGCTCTCTGGCGGTTGGACCTGGCCGGTGGTACTTTGCCGTTGTTGGGCCACCTGTTGTAACAATTTGCACAACAGTGAAATCGTATGGGGACTGGCCTCCGAGTCAATCGAACTTTGGGTTTGGGGCTCTGGTTGCTGCTGTGGCGGCGGTGGTTGCTGAAGCTGCTGTGACATGGCAATATTGTCATTTTGTGCCTGCTGAGGTTGCGGCGATTCCTGCGTGCCCAGTAGCTTCTGCAGCAGTCCCACGATATCAGAGTTGATGTTGTTATGCTGTGGCTGCCGTTGGGTGGGCTGGGCTTGATTTTGCTGTACTGACGGCTGTGCTTGCGACTGCGAAGTACTCTGCAGCTGCTGAGCGTCAGGTGGGCTTTGTCGCCATTGCTGATCCACCACTCCTTGATTCGATTGTTGTTGAGGACATGTATGTTGTTGATTTCGATTGTCACAAGCGATTGTTGCCGGCACAGGTGTAGTCTGTCGCTCTTGCGCAGCCTGCTCTATTAACTGTTGGAATTGGCTTTGAAACTGGAGTTGTTGATGAACATGCTGCTGATGAGCTTGCTGATGTGGCTGGGTCTGTGGTTGGGGTGCTGGCTGATAGTGCCCATTCTGCTGCGGTGAAAGTCTATGGCACCCTTGATTCTGTGGTGGTTGGGGTGGAAGAACTGATGCCTGTTGATAGTGAGCCTGCTGTTGCATTGGCTGGGGTGGTGGATTCTGCTGGTAATGAGCTTGTTGCTGCATGGGCTGAGGTGATGGTTTCTGCTGATATTGAGCTTGCAACTGCGTTGATTGGGACATCGTCCGAATTTGTTGATGGCTAGCTTGCTGTTGCGTCGGCTGTTGCATTGGCTGGGGTGGTGGATTCTGCTGATAATGAGCTTGTTGCTGCATGGGCTGGGGTGGCGGTTTCTGCTGATATTGACCTTGCGACTGCGTTGATTGGGGTGGTGTCGGTATTTGTTGATGGCTAGCTTGCTGTTGCATCGGCTGGGCTGCCGGTGCCTGTTGATATTGGGCTTGCTGTTGCATTGGCTGGGGTGGTGGTTTCTGTTGAAATTGACCTTGCGGCTGCATTGGTTGGGGCAATGTTGGTATTTGTTGACGGCTAGCTTGCTGTTGGATTGGTTGGGGCAATGTCGGTATTTGTTGATACTGAGCTTGCTGTTGCATTGGCTGGGCTGCCGGTGCCTGCTGATATTGACCTTGCGGCTGCGTCAATTGGGGCAATGTCATTATTTGTTGATGGCCAGCTTGCTGTACCGGTTGATGATTCGCCTGTGCTTGTGCAGACTGTGCACATGGTTGTGGCTGAGCTTGCTGTTGTGAGACATGCAACGTTTGGTTTTGATAAGGGGGAGGAATCGATGCCATGGCTCCTGACTCTGCCGAGATGGATGATCCGTGCCACTGATACTGCTGCTGTTGCTGATACATTTGCATCTGCCGTTGATACTGCTGTTGCTGGCATAGCTGTTGCTGATATTGATGTTGTTGAAATGCGTTTGCTTGTTGAAGCGCCGCATTGTGGTTGTTCAGGGCCTGTTGGTCATTGAGGGCAGCTACAGGAATGGATACTTCCTGCTGTGACGGGGACAAAACCGTCATGAAGCTATCTCGAGGTACCTTGTCTCTGAGGCACTGTGATGCCTTCTTACAAGCTTCTTTGTCGCCAACATCGTGCCACTTGCTGTCATCTCCCTTTTTCGGCTCGGTGCGTAATAGAAATCTGCCTGGGGGTGTTTGGGTTCTCCATGCCTCCACAACCTCCAAAGCTACTTGTGACTGCTCGTAAATAAATCCAAAGAGAGGCGAGTGCGGCATTGAGCTTGGCTTTCCATTTTCAATTCAATACTAGTTTTCAGCAAGAACAGAACAAACAAACAACGACAGATGCTCACCTTGCCGAACCTGGAAGCCGTCGCGTACTTTGGCTTGTACTTCTCTACCATCGTTCTAAATTTCACATTTCCAGGGTGACAAGTTGCGTGTCCACCTGTAGTAACGGAGAGAGTGGAGTCGGTTTGGTTTAGTTGTATGTAAGCGGGCCGTGAACAGCAAAAGGTGGCAAAGCGCAACGAGACGAAATAGCAGCGAGAACAACACAGGCGATGATCCTTCGCGTTGAGCTGCGGCAGAAGCCCTCCGCTGCTAACTGCCAGCCCTATAGACATCGTATGCTCCTACAACTACGAGCGAGTATGCTCTTACCTCTTCCGCACAATACGTCTAATCATGGTTGTGTTGTTGCGATGGGCAAAGCAAAGCGACAACGTTGTGAGTCGAGTCAAATCACGAAAACCATAGAAGACTCATGTCTGTACCAAGCTTGCCTCACGTCCTGCCAGAGTGCGAAGAGCTTACCATGTACGCCAGGATATTCGACATCCTCCAAAGCTATTTGAGCTCTACTAGTAGCAGTCGAAGCGCTATTGCCAGTGTTGGCATTTGGTGCAGAAGGTGGGTCGTCTTGGTCCTTGGTGCTCATACTGGTTTCATTCTCTCGGATAGAGTATAGGTGATGCTGTCGTGGTGCTTTCGCGAATGGGCTTGACGTTGCAACGCCACCAAGGGCAGGCAGCGTGATGCAAAGTTGCTGAACCACCACGCCTAACCTGCGTGCGGAGCTGCAACTCCAACTTGCGTGGTGAGTCCAAGGGCTTCTGAATCTTCTGATTCAGTTGGGCCTGTGTAAACTTTGTCCTGGTTTGTCACACTGGCTTGATCCAAGTGATGAATTCATCATGTTTGATTGGAAGTTTTGCCTTGGATTTGTCGCACCGGTTTGTCTCCTCATGAAATCACAATCTGACACCCAAAGGCCACGTCAGATGCCAGGCACAAATGACACCAGTAGAAGCTAAAAGAGCTCTTATATAGTGTTCTTTGAGCAGCTGCTGAAAAAGCATAGTTTCACGCAGGTGAAACTCTAGAGTACTAGTTTCACGCGACGTGAAACTATGCGTGCAACTAGACATGGAACTGTTGCTCGAATCGAACAGCTTTCGAAACCTCCACCATGGTGGCGAGACCTGCTCAGAACGGTCTTTCTGAACTCTAAAGACGCCACGACGCCACCTCTGTTGTGCTTCTAGAATCATTATTGCGACAAAACCGTGGTGTGAAGCAAAGAATCCAGCCATAAAGTTGCCGATCGGCGACGGAAAGAGTTCAAGATGAAGCTCGTCTATGATCTCACTAATGCTCAGATCGCGACCCTTCACAGCCTGTATCAAAAAGAATGGTGGACCAAGGGAAGATCACTTGAGGAAACCCAATCATGCGTCAGTGGATCTTCACTTTGCGTCGGTCTAGTCGACGACGATGAAAACTTGGTTGGCTTCTCCCGTGTTTTGACGGACTATACGTTCAAAGCTTTGATCTTTGATGTCATTGTTTCTTCGAATCATCGCGGTTCAGGCTTGGGCGAGAGGCTACTCAGGGCCATATTTGACCACAAAAAGCTATATAAGGTCAAAAACTTTGAACTGTACTGTGCTCCCGAGATGGAAAAGTACTACCAGAAGTTTGGGTTTTCTACTGATGTTGGTGGGGTGTTGTTCCTGCGCAAAACAAGAACATCACTCGTGGCGAAGAACTTTGAGGATAAAATCGATGATGGATCAAGCTAGTGACATACCGGTACCAGTACTTCGATGGTGTTTCTGTTTTGACAGAGTTGCCAACCACAGCAGCAGTCGGCAACTGTGGGTGGCAATAGTGTATTCTTGCAGAAAGAAACCCCAGTCATAAATGTCGTTGTGCTATAGCCATCTAGTATTCCCACACTAGACGAGGGTTCACTTCACTGCATCCCCTTTGCCATGAATAAAGGTGTCTTGGCACTTGGCACACCCTCAACCTGTGGAGAATGGGAGGGTTTTTTATCGAGGTTGGTTTTGCGGTTTTGTCCTCGCTAGATAGCTGGTTCCTGCAACTTAATTGATTAAACGAGCGACGGTACTGGCTGCTTCGCAACGCCTCTCTTCAAATCCATACCAGAGCTCATTAATAAAAATTGTATTCAGAGCTGCAGTGGTGGAAAGCATTACAGTACAGTGACGCTGCGTGCTAACTTCAGCTCTCTCTGCCCCTTCGACTTTCCACTTACCGGTAGGAGTACAAAGCAGTCTTCAGCTCTTACTTCACACGATAGTCTCGCCATGTCGGTCGGGCGTCTCTCACCATACATGTATGTACCTTTTACGTACCGGTACCTGGTACCGGCTCAGTACTGGTTCAGTAGCTGTACTGGTACCATTGTACCATGTACCATTCAAAAACGAACACACCCCATTATTTAACATCAGTGCAACCAAGTTACTGACTGGTTGGTCGCTTCAAGGGGGATTCAGTCTGGGATTGAACGAGTGTGTCTTTCTGGCCATCTTCTCTTGCTTCTCCTTTAAATCCGCTGCAATAATTCTAAGTCTTCTGTTTCCTCAGAGAACATTTTGCTGTCTACGACGAACGAAGAATGACCCAAATAGATAGAGGATCCAGTGCCGGGGCTGTCACCTGTTTTTCACCTTCAACTGTCTTCGCTGGCCTCTTCGCTTGCGGCTCCACGCTCGATGGTCTCACAATTTCAATTCTCAAAAACAAAAATCTTCCCTTCTCAAAAGATACTAATAACAACGTCAAGATGAGCGGTCGCACTACTCAAGCTGAAAGCCGTGGCAGATCAACGTCTCCCTCCGAAAGAAAACTGAATCGCCGAGCCAACACAAGGCGATCTGGAAGCGTGAGCCGCTTGGCGGATTTGCTCCGAGAAGATGCAGAACCAACGGCAACGAGAACTGGCCGTGGACGCAGCAGAGAGCAAGAAACAGGCCGTAGCCGCAGCCGCAGCCAGAGTGTCACCCGTATCCTTGGTCGCCTTCAGATCGAGGCCAGCATTAACCAAGAACATATTGAAAAGAATGAGGAGCCCCAACTGTCGTCGAAGAAAAACAACAGAAGAGCTCGACGCAATGTGAGCTCGACGCAGCCCGAAAAGAACCCGCTTCGTCGAACACTCTCCAAGGAAATGGATCGGAGAAGGTCTGTCCGCCAAATGGCCATCATCGAAATCCAAGCTAGAGAGCGCAACCAAGAGGCCATTTTCGAAAAGGCGTTGAGCCGTCAGCGTGGTCAAACCAAACCCGACACGAAGAAGCCTTGCTCACTTAGCCCCACTACCGACCTTGCAAGAAGAAGCAAGAGAAAAACAAAAGGCAGCAAACCCGTATGCAGCGTTGGTAGTGAGAAATCGGTCACTCGCTTGAGAACCTCCCTTGCAATTCGCAAACTGGGGGAGATGTCGGATAGTCTTCACGGAAGCTGGGCGGAATCATCGATGGTGCTCTCTTGTTCGGGTTCGGAAGGAAGCTCTAATAGCATCCTGGAACAAGCCCAGCGCATGAAAAGCTTGAGCGAAAGGTTCCATGATTCGAACAAGAAACTTCAGAAAAAGGGCTTGGATCCAACTGTGGCTCCACCAAAGCGATTGTCGAAGGACATTCCCATGCTTCAATTCCAATAAGAGAGAATGAGTTCGAACAGTTCTTGAACAATGTAATGGTAGTAGGTACTAGATCAGTTTTACTAAAAGGAGAATACTAAGGGAAACTTCCTGCATGCGATTGTCTAAGTAGTGATACTAGAAGGTGATAGTGTTTGTAACGTGGTTGGAGGCCGCTGGATACACTGCAGTGCGTTGCAGCTGGCTTTGGTAGCTCCAGGCTGCCATACCGTGGTTTAGAAGTTGAGACTCGAAGAGTTGCATTGTCGAGTCGAGATTGTGCACAGACCCAAAACGGTATCCGGAAAAGCAGGGGTCTCCCTGGCCCGTGGAAGAAGGATATCAGATGGTCTGCAATGCACAGAGACAAATCGTCCACAATTCGGTTTGCCCACACTCTCTCAGCACGCCATCCCAGTGAATTGCATAATGTTGAAGACTTGAAAGTTTCGTGCAAATGCTGCAGCTGACGCAAAACCCAGAGGGTCCTCGCGATGTTGTCCTCATGCTCTAGGCTCCCAAGTATTGTGCATGGAACGATACGAAGCTATGGATATGGTAATATCCGGTTTTAACTCCCTTGAACGCCACGAGAAAGGAACCACAGAATCGTTGCATTGATGCAACTGAAGCACCATAGTCCCACCGCAGCCCGGCACCACCAAACCAAGAACGAAGAGCTGCATGAGGCAACCAACAGATCTAACTTCCCGTTGCAGTGACACATATAGAGAGCTGCTTGAGCCAGTCATGATATGATATCTCCTTGCAAATGACATGCAGTCAAGTTAGCGCCCTTCTTGTGCTGGTTTCGTCTGTCGAGTCCTAATCTCCCCGGAAGCACCTTCACTTTGCCGGTAGCAGTACAAACAATTTCGTCTAGAGTTTATGTTAGTATCCTGTGCACCAACCTCAGGAAGCTCACGCATTAGGATTTTGTTTTTTGTTTGTGGAAGATCCTTGGAACTAATCAGCTGAAAAAATCAACCTTGGCGGCTCCACAACGATAACCGAAGATGAAAATTTTGGTGTCATTGCCAAAAATTTTCGCTTCTCGTCATCGTCACATTCTTCCTTTCCCTATCCTCCTCATTATCATCATTTCCAAACAGTCCAATAGTACATTGATTAAAATTGGTTGGGATCAGGCAAGTTGAGAAGGACAACTCCAGCAAGGACGGCAAAAGCGCCGAAACCCCCGGCAGCAACAATTGCAGATTGTGTCTTCTCTTCATTGGATTTGGAGCTGACTTCCATCTTTGGCTCAATAGCCCAAACGTTGGACTTTCCATCTTGGTCAACGGAAACACCTCTTTCAACTGGTCGTGCACTGGATGTATACGAGTCTTCTTCGGCGAACAAAGCCATGGTGTTCACACGAGTGTTGGTCATTGGGGCAACTGGATGAAGAAAGCAAAATTTTGTGCAAGGATGAAGAAGGTTAGTGATGTACCAAAACTCCCAAATCCACAAAGTCGACGGTATCAGAGCAACACATACCCGAAAAAGCACTGGCAGAAGCCAAGAGAAGGAGAGCAACGATTTGACGCATCATCTTGGTGTGTTTTACTGTTCTTTATATTTGATTGAATTGAAGTCGATTTTGAAATATTGTGTGCAAAAGTGCAAGCAAATGCCTCCTCTGACTGGTTTTCTGACACTGGCAATCAAAAGGACGCTACTAGTACAGTATACAACGTGGTAGTTGTGGCCACGTTTTGGTAAAGCTTTGATCGATCCCACCATGCATCAAAGGAATTCACTGGTGAGAGAGGAGACGTCAGCGTTTGTTGGGATCTGATGTTGGTTTTGGAGGAGGGTCCGCAGATCCTGGGACTGAGTCACTCGGTTTTTGCCACGTCATGTCGTACCGGTACCTGGTACTAATACTTCAATACTAAACTCGTAGAATTAAGCTATCGAAGCTGTCAAAACACCGAATTCAGCCACTAGGCATGGGGTAGCGATACCGGTACCAGGTACACCCCATTTTTGACACGGGTGCCGTCCTGTAGTGTCCTGGGTAGCTATAGCTCTAGTATGGGATCATGGGATCAGCAAGGCTCCTTCAGAAATGCTGTTTCTCGTCTCAAGCACATGCACGTTTTGAGCTGCAACCGTCCTTTTGTATTCTGCACACCACTCTTAACCGTTCAGCTGCGTTTCCGCTTCGAGCAAGCTAGCTCCCGGTAGGTGCGTAGGAAACATGTAGCACCTAGCTAGACAACACAAAGAGTTGCCCATACCGTACCGTACCGGTAGTTCCAAGAGGGGGTAGATCTTCGTCTAGCTAGCTGAGGCTGCCGGCTAGCAAACGTGGAGTTTTTGGGCTGGCAACTGAAATCGCACTGAAGACACGGACGAGTGGGAGGCAGCGAGGGCTGGCAACTGCACTTCCGAGACTCTTCGAAAGGATACATGTATCTATCGGTACCGAAGGCACGTCGGTCGAAAAGTCCTTGATCCTATTTTTATTCCAGCCGTGCACATGTACCTGATAGACTGCAATGTACGTACCGGCTTTTTCTGTGGATGCGCTGCTCAAGCAAGCTCAATGTGTGGTGGGCTGGGAACAAATAGATTACTGGAGAGCATAATATCGGGGAATGGATCTGTTAAAGTAGACCACATGTAGACTTCGATAATCGACAATCCGTGGACCTGGAACTCCGACTTGAGATCAAAGCATCGAAGGCTGGCTAGCTATCTAGGTCTATTGATACAAAAATATGGAGGTTTGATTCATTGACTAAATCACTTTCGTGCCATACTACATATCCCTAATCTGTTGGGGCCATGCACGCCGCCGTGCAATGGTCAGTCAAAATGAAAGGAAAGCACCGATTGCTAAAATATCTCCACCCGTGGAAAAAAGCTGATTGTGGTTTTGATTTGGAGGATATAATTGGAAAAAGAATAATTTCGGCATTGGCTTATTTTCCGCTCTTCTTGGGCCTGTTTGACGAAGAAGGAAAGCAAAGCGTGAGGAAAACTTTCATAGCAGCAAATGCTTAGATTGATCATTCAATCTAAATAACTTACAGTAGAACCGCATGAATGTTGGGCTGTGGATAGTAAAGAATAAAAACAAAAGATGTGTAAGGTGCCAACGTCATTGTGTGCATGCGCGACATGCTGAATCGAATGAATCATTTCATTGCCATCTACTAGTAGGGTACATACCAACACTCCTCCACTGGCAATTGTCACACCTCCAAGCAGCTTGTTCAACTCTTCATCATTCTTGACGGCCAAGGTAATGTGCCGAGGGACAATGCGGCTCTTCTTGTTGTCACGGGCGGCATTGCCTGCCAATTCCAGAATTTCGGCGCAAAGGTATCTATATATTTGGAGAGTGGGGAAAGCAACGACATGAGATTTTCTTTTGGGTTTCGTTTGGACACGGCGATTCATCTGAAGTGCTTACTCGAGTACAGCCGCCAGGTATACTGGTGCTCCGGCACCCATACGGGTAGCGTATTTGCCTTGACGGAGGTAACGCCCGATACGACCAACTGGGAACTGAAGTCCAGCCTTGGCACTAGCGGTGGTGCTCTTCTTCTCGCCGCGTCCTCCTTTTCCTTTTCCTGACATCTTGATATTAGTTTGTTTGTTAGTTAGTTGGGTGAGATAGAAGTGTTGGTTATTATCGAGATCGATGAAAGGTCGCAATTCTTTGTTTTTGTGAGATTTGCATTCAGATCGATTGCTGGTGGCAGCGAAAGAACCCTTACGCCGGCTCAGCCTCTGAGAGCGGGCCTGGAGATTCAAATTCAAACAATCATGTTAGAGTTAAGGCTTACAATTCGAATTCAATCCCTTTGCTGACGCACACCTGCCTTTAACCTTACCGTTTCCTTTTTCTGCCAATTTGTCTCAATTCTCAAACCTCGACTTTCTCTTCCGGGACAAGGGACAAGCTCCTCGTCGTCGTGGTCTTCTATCCATGCACTATCCACCATGCAGCATGAGCATCCACAGCAGCAGCAGCAGCCCAGCCCTTCAGCTTGGGAATTTGAAAAGGCACTTCTGTTTCAATCCCTGTTTCATTTGGAGAATTGCACGGAAGAACTTGTCGTCACTCTGGAGTCGATCCATTCGCTCTTGACGGATCGACCACAGTTGGCAGCGACAAGAGAAGGAGAAATGGATCGCTCACCTCTTCATGAGTTGTGTCGGCAAATTTCTCTTCTACCACTTTGTTTTCAGGTGGACAACACTATTGTCGAGGCCTACTGTCGTGTGACCCAGTGTCTTCTCGCACTGCACCCCGATGGAATCGCCCAGTGCGATGCTCAAGGATTGCTGCCTATTCATTGTCTCATGAATGGTAGTGGGGACTGGCAGGAGGATTTCTTTTGTCCCATTCTGTCCTGTCTATTGGAAGCCTATCCAGACAGTGCCACCATCCGACCCGCCACTGCCAATTGGAGAGGATTGTCTCCTATAGAAGTCAGCTTTGCCAAGAATTGTTCACTTCGAATTCGAACAGTTTTGATTTCCACCGTCCAAGACAAGACAACAGGCCTGCACTCGTTCTATCTGACGCAAGAATCGGGAGTCTTTTCCATGGAACTGGCGCAAAGTACAGAACAAATCCTGAAACTACCACAACTCGCCAAATTCGAGTGCCATGTACGCCATTGGGATCCACAAGCGTATCTGCATATCCTGCATGTTCTGTCCAACAAAGAGCAACCAAGGTATCTGCAGCACATTGGTTGCTTGACGATTCCGCCTCTGTGGAGGAACTTTGCTGCCAATGGGAAGAACATCTCGGCTGTGCCTTTAGCGCTGCAACGGGTCATGGAATCCTCTCTTGTTGCTCGAGGAACGCTGCAAACCATTCGATTTAGGATTCCATACGGTTCGGAAAGGGACAATAACCATGCCAACGACGAGGATGATTCTCCATTGGTGTCATCCATTCATGATGGACTTGCAAAGAGAACCAAGATGAGGGAACTGGAAATGGAAAACTTTGTTATTCGAAACATTGCCTTATTGCAGAGGTGGTTGACAAGTGGCTGTTGTCCTCGCAAAGTACAATTCACTGAGGTTATGATTGGTGGTGGATCTCAACAACCACCACCAGCAGCAGGCTTTGCAGCAGATTCCGCGTCTCATGATCTCTCTTCTTCGGCATCCATATCACACGACAACAACGGGGAGGATTCCACCGGCACTGCGACCGTGGTTTGTAGTGGCGACAGCTTTGTCAAAGACCTACAATTCTCTCGGTGTTCTGTGGCAACCAACGATCTAGTCCCTCTGTTGCACGGCATTGCGCAAATGAGATGTTTGAAACGCTTGCATTTGGAAATGTCCAAACACTCATCATCATCAGAACAAGAAACTGACCAACGACCAATGGTTCACGACCAGGATTTGACAAGCGGACTTGTCGCCATACTCAATCAAACCCCATTGACAGAGCTGGAGGTTCACGGAGACTTTTGGGGTGCCCTTGACATGGAAGCCATCTGTAGCGAATCATTGCGTGATAACACAACATTGCAGACTTGGAATGTGGAAGCATCGTTGAACACGGAGGAAAAGCGGGAGTTTCTTGCCAACACTTTAGCATTCAACACGACTTTGCTCCAGGTCACAAACATCGATTGGAAGTACGGCAAAGAAAATGGTAGTGACCATGAGACTAGTCAGAACGCTGGCAAGATATACTATGGGTTGCTTTTGAATCGGGGAGGAAGGGGAAAGATCCGCAAGGGAGGGAATGACTACACCAAACCGCAGTGGGTGCAACTTCTGATTGACGCCGTGGCCAAATTTGGACATGCTACATTGGACACGTTGAATGTCCATTTTGGACTGCTGCAGGAGAATCCGAATGCTGTCTTGGGTGATCATGACCAAATGGAGCAAAGCACTACAAGATTCAGTCCAACGATACTCTAGTCTTTATTCATTGATCAAGTAGTATCCAAAGCATGTACTCTGATACAAAATTGGCCACCCGAGCTGTAGAGTACGAGTTCAATCAACAGGTGTCAAATGTCCAGCGCTCTACGGTATTTCATGTACTTCATGCGTGCAGCCGAGCAAGATGTTGGATGCAGGATGTAGCGGACACCCCTGCCCATTTCCGAGCTACCAAAGCAATGGTTGCTTTGGCCGGTGTAACAGGCGGCTTTCCCCGGCAAGGCCGTCTTGCACCACACAGAACCTTCCCTCGCCTTCAAGCTCGCGAGCAGCATGGCACCGGCGCAACCCAAATGACTCATTCGGGTGAAGTTTTGTGTCGACCTCTCATTGCTAATTGCTAAGGCTCAACTTTATCTTCAAATTCATCACATGTTCTATACGAACCACGGCTTTCCATCGACCTCGGCAACAAGGCCTCCAGTTCCATTTCCAGCCTCCTTATTTTCTCCTTCAGCTGCACGTTTTCCTGCTCCAGAGCCAACTTGACTTCCTGATTCATCATGTCTTGGACAGGCTTCGTATCCCAGTCACTGATGATATTTTCCTCGACATCAGCAGTGCGATTGCTGCGATCGGAGCGGGACATTATCGCAGAATCCTTCAAGGTCACATGAGTGCCACTTGACTCCATGACCTCGGTCGATTCTCGCATTCTTCCCGGGGGAAGAGGTGGGCCAAAGCACTCTGAGGTGCTACACACAGCGAATGAGTCGCCGGAGTCCGCGTTCACATTTCCATCATTGTTGTCATTGCCATTTTCAATTATGCACACATTCGGTTCCATCTCTCTTTGGAAATTCAACATCTTCTGCCGGTCAACTGCTTTCTCGTGTGTGCTCCGTCGAAGAGATTCAGCAACTCCTACGCCTGGAGTGAGCCCAATTCGCTGGAAGTGCATTTTCGGGACGAAAATGAATAACAGAATGCCCGCATCATTGAAGAAGATGATGAATATGAGCACCAAATAGGAAGCACTGGAAGTAGAAGCAACAAACGTGAGCATGGGAGCATCGAGTACACTCCAACGTGCACTTATCCCTACCTTGGGTTGTCATCAAGGGACAATAAAACTGGCAATCCAATTACTAGAACTTCAAAGACAAAGGCGCTGCTCAGCCCGACATACTTTTGCTCCTGGTATCTGTCCTCCAAATCCTTGACAGTGTAAAGCGTCCAGTTCGTGATGATCATGAGCAGAAGATGGATCGCCGCAATTGGAGCAGCAAAACGCCAGATGCTCGAATCCTTTGGTGCGGCGCAAAAGCCGTAACTGCTAATCGTCACCAGTGGCAGACCGTCTTCCTCGCTCAATGATGTATCCGAAACTTCCCGTCGATACTATATTGACAGTAGGAACGTGAGGATACCAACGTCGCAACATTGCTGCCACAAAAAGCGAGCAAACATACCTCGAGCGGATCCACAATAGTCCAACAAGTGACAACGATCATGTCCAACAGCAGTACCAGTATCACAATCCAACTGGTGTCAAACGCAGATACTCTTGCCCGTCGATATCTCCTGGTTCGAACAAGGCGATATATTCTGAACGTTTTGGAGGCGATAGAGCCGTATTGAAGAGGCCAACCAATGCAATAAAGAAATGGGGCGATCCGACAAGCTGTTGTGACAGCAGATATGTCGTCGTCGAACCCCGCTTGTTGGCTGAGAGCCAAGATAGTCGAAGATGAAATGACCGCCCTACACAAATTGCAATCATAAAGGATTGTTGCGCGATCATCACCACAGGATCATCTCTGTAGTAGAATATCCATACAATAAAACAGAGAGCCAATGTCCACGTGACTCCCACCAGTACAAACCCGAAATTCAATACGGGTTGCGGAATCAAATTCATGTCCTGAGCGTAACACTTTGTTTCTCCTTCTTGCCCTTGCGTTGTGGTGCCTTCTGGACACGGAGAACATTGCGGGTCATTATTTTGAACAAAAGTGATTGTGTCCTGGGGACACGTAGAACATTTGCTGGTAAGGAGGGAGGTTCCATTCACCACCATCGTTTCATTCGAGAACTGCCCCGGCGGACATGGTTTCGCACTAGGAGATGGCACTGTGATGAGAGCTTCTGCTTGGTCGGCTGGTGATACCAATGCATTGTAGTACGAGCTGTTGTTGACACTGTTTGATTCGGGAAGCCACTGCGTCGCAGCAGCAGCTCTTCCTATGTTGCGTTGGTTCTTGTCAAACGCAACAGGACCAAACAAAGTATTTGTTGTTAATATCACCATGTCGCGTCGCAGCTTTTCATATCCGTCTGCTGTTTGAAAATCCACTGCAGGATCTGGATTGTCTGCCACCCGATAGGAACTTTTGAGGTGTTCTGCAAAGAGCGTGGGAATTGAATAACTGACAACGAAATCATAGGATCCAAAGTATTCGAAACGTTGCTGGCCAAATTCCAACAGCTCCTGTCCAGAGGAGAAGAACCTATCGCTGTACGTGAAGGCTTGATGCCACTGTCCACCGCCTTGGATATAGGGGACCTGGTCAATATTCTTTGCCGCCCAACCCCAGGTCGCTGCTGTCAGCCAAATGGACATTGGACAACATCCATTTTCCCTCCATCGTTGAAACACCATGTCTTGTTCTGTCTGGAAACATGCGAAAATGGCGGGAGGAAGTTCTGCATTGCTGCTGTTTGATTGACGAGGACACGCTTGGTCCGCCAAATCATTCAGAAAATGAACGTCAAATTGATTCTTGATGCCATCTCCGTCGTGATCATCATCATGATCATACAAGAGTTCCAAGATGTTGGTAAATCCAAATTTCTTCAAGGAGTCAATGGCCGAGCGACAAGTTGAGTGAAAAAACTCGGACTTCTTTCGGTACAATACTTTGACGGGTTGATTGGCCAGGGTTCCGTCTCTGGCTTGGACATCAAAACTGAGGGCTCGTGCAGCTGCCAATGGGTATCCATCGCTGTTGAGATGAAACCCAAACAGATAGGGATTGTTCGTTTGATAGTAACTTGGCGGTCCCACCTGTGCCAGTAACATGATTTGATGACGCAAGACAACTTTATCTTCTGCATCGGAAGCAAAGGAGCAGGTCCCAATAACATATTGTGGCTTTAGTGCTGTCAATGCAGCATCCAATACCGTTGCATGCCGCGCCTTGTAATGGTCCCCACTGATGTAATCGGAATGTCCTGCCACAATGGAGACCAATCGAAACTGTACAAACGAATTTTCTTGGAACCCAATGGCTTGACCCCTTGCCTCGTTTTCAGCATTCATCCGTTCCACACTAATGACGGCGCCATCGCGTCCATTTTGGCAATTGGAGGCAGCTGGAGTCACTTGAACCAGAGTCACCACAAATAATGGGACAGCGCTTGCATTATTGTTTGTAGAAAAGATGTTCTCACTATTGTTGTTCCATGCGAATGATGGTTGGATGTCGTACAGAATACAGGGGTGAACGTCGTCTTCTGGCGTAAGAGTCTCTGCGAATTGTAGTGAAGTCTTCTCACATGGTTTCCAGTTCTGGTAGTCCAAATCAACCGATTCTGGAGGGGACGAAGCAGTGCTTGTCTGAGCCACAGCACAGGCGGGAAGCGCCGTGCACAAGAAACCGAACAGAGCCACTTGAAGGCAGCGTTGTCTCGACCGAATCCTCGATCTGCTGACACCCCGAAAACCCTCTACGCCCTGTTGCTCAAAGGGTTTCATTGCTATGGTTATGCATGTATTACTATGGTATACCTCCCCGATAAAAGGCCATTTTATTGTTTGCCATCGTGCACAAGGTCCTGATCGGGTGCATGCATGTTGGGATGGTGATGCATGCAGCTTCGCTTTTCGTTTCGTGAATACTGGTGAATAAATCCTTGAACATTGCAAAGAATTAGGAGCCATTGTTATTCCGTAAAAATTTGATACACCATGGTAAAACGGTACGAACCGCGAGCGTCCTCCATGCGGCCGTTGCTACTGTACTGTATCACCAACCAACCTCGACGAGGATCGAGGATTGACGCCAAACACAACCAAAACCAACCCACAAGCAACAACATTACTGGCTATTAATAGAGTACTACTAGTAGTACCTGACTCCATTCATCCATCGCAGTACACGTGTAGACTACCTTTTAGTTGGTACAGTCGAAATCCATCCAGCACCATGACAGAAACAGCGGCGAACCCAGCCAACACGGACACTTCTGATCTGCCCGAGCCCACCGATGAGAATTGCACGCGGCATGTGCTACAAGCAGAAGAAGAACTGCGTTTGGAAGTTTCCTTTTTGGGAACCAAAATCGAGACAACCTGTGTGATTGAATTGAAGAAGGGTTCCTGTGAACTCTGGGGTGTGGAATTGGCCTTGCAGAAAAAGTACACGTTGGATGGGGGCTTCAAGGCAGCTCTCTTTACATGGCATGGTTGTGTGGTCGATGTCACTTGTGAGCATTTGGATATTTCATACAGTTCCAACGAAACCGCCGCCAATGTGGCCTATGTCAATACGCATGCCCAATTGGAAGCCTTGAGGGATGATGCTGCCATGAATGGTCAAGAAGGACCCCGTGTTTTGATTGTGGGACCTCCAGAATCGGGAAAATCCAGTCTGACCAAAATTCTGGTAGCGTATGCCACCAAATTGGGAAGGACACCACTCTGGGTGGATTTGGATCCTGCGGACAATGGCGTCAGTGTCCCTGGCACTCTAGCAGCTGTCCCCATGGCGGGAGATAGTGCCGTAGTGGAGACTTATGCCACAGGAGGGATCCCGATTGGGACCACTCCACTGGTGCTCTTTCATGGGACCACCACGCTACAACCGGAACTCTACAAGGCACAAGTCACGGCACTGGCCGACAAAATACAACTTCGTTTGGATGCACAGAAGGATGTACAACCCGACGAAAACAACAATCCAGGAGCTGCTCCAAACTTCTTCAATGAACGGTCCAGTGGTATTATCGTCAACACCAATGGCTGGATTCAAGATGAAGGATTCCAGTTGCTACTGCATACCATCAACGTCATGAAAATCACTGTCGTACTCATCATGGGACACGATCGACTCTACAGCATGATGTCCAATCACATCAAAAAAATAGCCGACACCGCCGTCAAACCTAAAATCATCAAATTGCCAAGATCCGGAGGGACAGTCTCACGAGAAGCAGCCTTTCTTCGACAAGCCAGGTCACGCAGTATGAAGCGATACTTTTACGGAGACATGGTCGAACCCACACAACAACAGCAACAAGGTGCCACCACCACCACCACCCGTGTTCCACAATTGACACCTTTTCTGAATCAAATTCCGTTCAAAGAATTGACACTCTACAAATTATCGGCCATTGCACTCAGTGCCTCCTTGTTGCCCGTGGGAATGGGGCAGTCCACCGACAGCATTCAAGTACAAGAGGTGGAATTGTCGGAATCATTGCAGCACGCCCTCGTTGCGGTCTGTCATCCCCATGCGGTGGCAGCCTACCAGAAATCCGGACGGGCCAGAGATTTGTTCCAAGCGGGTGCCGCAGGATTCTGCGCCATTGAACGAGTCGTCATGGATACCGACACAGTACATTTGCTGTGTCCCTGCGCGGGAAACTTGCCCAGCAAAACATTGCTGCTCGGGGATATCACTTGGATGGAGTAGTAGATTCAGTAGAAACAGCAATTATAATAATAATAAGACGGTGCTAGAATGAAAGATTAAACAACGCGGTTATTACTGGCTACACGTGGGGCTCTTCAAACATCACGCACTAATAATAAAGGTACCATACTGTATCAGATTGAACTGCGACAGAGCTGAGCCTCAAGCAATCGAATACAGCGTACTATGGTAATGGAAAAGCACCCCCCAACCAGATGCACTGTATATTGTAGCCATTTTTCAACTTGTTTGAGCAGTAAGTAATATTTAGGTATCCGTTACACTATAACAACGTTGCATCTTTTCCCAACACAGCTTGACACAGCGTGCCTTGCACATTTTCGCTAAGATTACAGGTCACTAGTACGGTACAACCCCATGTAGTATATCAACCAGACCCCAACAAGCAGAGCATTCACCCTGTAGCTAGGAAATACAACCGTCAGGCAAAAAAGGTTTGACTTGTAGCTTGCCATCATCACCATGATCCACAAGTGCAGCACGTGCCGGACAAGGCTCTTTGATTGTCAACCACGTAATGCGCTGTGTCTTCGCGCAGCAGCTCGGAGATGACCCACCGTCGACTCGACTCGTAGCGGCAATAACTTAGAAGGTGGTACCGCCGAAAGTACCTTCGCCATTACTGGCGCGTCCGATGCTGTTCCTCTCGCCCGCCATGGCTTCAGTTGGCACGGAGATCATGAGGGTCTCTGTATCCTTGTTCGGTTTATACTTTCGAGGCCTAAAGCTCATGCGTCGGAGGATCCCAGCTTCGGGTTGTTCGACACCGTTGCTTCTATGACTTCTGCTGCTTTCATTGCTGGATCGCTGTGATTCCAGATCGCCAAATATTGGCATGTCTTTGGCAAAGTCATCCTCTGCAAGACGGTACCTCTTGGCGTCCCAAGCATAGACCACAGTTGTACTGCAACATATATCAATGATTCCTCTGCGGTCTTCTCGCACCCACGAAACAAACGCACCAGCCACGGCCGGAATGCCGAGGTTCGTGAGAAAGGCACGGGATGTGGCTTGGAAGGGAGTGAGATGTGCCACCTTTCCACCATGGGAGTTCAGGACCATCAGTCCCATCACAACCTTTCCGACGGTCCTACCAACCACCATTAGGCAGAATGCATCTGTAATGAAGCCAAACAGAAGAATCACAAGAATCGGCAGACCCACCACAAGGAACACTTCTCTCCGTTGTTCCGTTTCTACTTCAGTAACTTGCATCTCATAAAGCGTGTTCTGTAGCTCGCCCAGAGTGAGCTCTCCTTTGATCAGTTGGTTCCCAACGACCCATGCAATAAGAGTATCGTTCAATGTTTTGTCGATTTGCGGTGGGGTGGTAGCTGGTTGGACCGACTCCCACGTTTCGTAGAGTCGTCGAAAGATTAGCATGAAGAGCATACCAACTCCAATGGCAATTCCTTTGTCAATACCAAAGGCCACGAACCGGGTGCACACACCGGCATTTCGACCTTGCACAGCAATCGCCAAATGGGAAGATTTTTTGGGGCACTCCATAGAAGCACGGAGTTTGCGATCGTCACGTCGTTTTCTGGTATCTGAGATGGGTGTTACGGTAGGCAAAGGAGGGAGAAGCCACTTTCCATAGTCTGATCGCCACCAGAAGCACTGGACGCAACGCCCCATGCGCTGTACGATTTGGTCTCCTTTGATACACATGGCGCGAATGGAGTCCAGAGCGAGAAAACAGATTCCGGTAGCTGTTGCAAAAAGAGTGGGGCAGAACAGGTGGAGCGGAATACCAGAAGGGGGTGAGACAACGACAACCAAGTTTCACTAGCCAGCAGTGGCATGGGGTCTACTCACTGGATCTGGCAATGATGGATTTGAGATTGGATCTCTCGATGACAGCATTGACATCGATTCTCTCCACAAGTGCATTGACGTCAACCCTAGCAAAGATAGCATCAAAGTCCACCTGCTCAGCAAGATTGTTCCAATCGACCTGAGAGAGAAAACAAAGAGTAAAAGTGAGAAGATTGCCATGAAAAAGACGCTACCAGTGGCACCCAGTAGCTAGCTAATAGACAACGTGCAGAACTCGAGAATCTTCATAGGTACTCACAGTATCCACAATGTCGTTAAAGTTGACACGGCTGATGACATCATTGAGGTCAATTTGTCGAATAACCCCATCCAGATCTACCACCTGAATCAATGGATTGACGACCCGTCCAAAGGCTCGCGCAAAGACAGACTTTGTCTCCTCTGTGGAGTTAATGGATCGCTCTGTCAGCTGAGACTTGACTTCGTCCGTCTTGATGGTGTCTCCAAAGGTGCCTCCGAATGAATCATCATCGGAATCTACATCGTCTGCAAACATGATCTTCGTCGATACCTTGGGGCCGCTCCCAGTGGTGTAGCGGTCACCTGATAAACCAGCAGTCGCCATCGCGTCAATAGTCCTCGATCTCTATCTCTCCTTTCCTTCTACAATAGATAGAGTTGTAGTGTCACACTCGAAAGAAATGAAGAAGCAGCAAAAGCGCGATTCTCTTTCAGTCAAATTCCCTCTCTCTCGCTTTTCACGCTAATTGGTTGTTTTTGTTGCCACCACTCAAGGCACACTAAGCATCCGTCGACGAGCAGATTTGCACAGCTTTTGCAACACGTAGGCTTTAGTACAAAAACAAAGCATCATCATTTTCTTACCGTACAAACTGTATATTCAATTGTTGAAATCATTTACGAAGCATTGTGTTGTACTAAAGTGTTGAAAAGCCCTAATAATAATTAATAGTACTGTACCGGTACCCTTTTTGTTTTAGGAGATATATTACATTCTTCTCAACAGATGATCTTTCGCAAAGCAGTATTACGTCTTTATCAGTATTATCAAGTACACGGTAAGGCTTCAACATTACTTTAGGAAAGGACAGGCAAAAATTTCGAAGGATGCAGCCTGGACGCAGAGAGGGGGGCGACCGAAATTGGGAGGGCCCGACACAGCAACCAATCGAATCAATCCTCGTTTTGGCATCCATGTTCAGTACTGGCTATTCAGCTCTAGAGTACCGGTAGTTACTCCTATCGTACTACCTACCGGTAGTAGACTAGCTAGCTAGTTTTGCTTGTGTTTATTCCTTTAGAACGAGATCTGATGTATTCACGGTCCTGCGTGCGAAACAGCCGGTCGGTCCTGTGACTTTTATGCGGGTATTTCAATTCCATTCATTCTACAGAGATGTTGCTTATTCCAGGGTGCAGGTCAATTGGCTTACAGGTGTCTTCATGGCTTTCAACTCGCATACTATTAATAATAGCCTTTAGGTGTCGTCAAAGTTCTTCCTGCCGGGCACTTTTCTTTTCTGCAACCTGAGCGAGCAGCACCGTTGCTCACCGCCGTATGGAGAACGCAGGGAGAATCCCGCCCCTGGCTGATTGACTAAGCCAAGCTTGTATCAGAGCTAGAGATTGATTCGCAAGCACCTTAGCCTCTTGTTCAACAACATTTCTAGTCAATTACAATCTTTCGTCTTCTGTCTCTACGTACATGCAGTAGTAGTATCTGAAAAGAGGCCCCGTCTATGATATTTTGCAATTGGTCGGTCGTCATATCGGAAACTCAAAGACACTGATTGCTTCCAAAGCAACAGCTCTTTTTTATGATTGCGACAAGGATGGGAGCCTAGGATTGCGGCGACGCTTGCGGCTGGTGGGAGATATCTGTTGCCCATCCCATGACGCCCACACTTTGGGACATTCCCGCAAAAGACCGTACATTACAGAATGTTTGGTATTGCCCTCCAAGGCATTGATCAAAGTGATGGAGCAAATGTGATCGACAAAAGTGTGATGAGCAAGACTCGGATCACGCAACTTGCCTCGTCCCAAGGCGTTCAGTGTGGTGTAGTGGATGATTGGTTCGTTGATCGTAGCAGTCTTGACCTGCAACAAACTCGTATTGTGACTGGCCATTACATCTAGCATGGCTTCTTCGTTTGCCTGATCTGTCTCGAAGCAAGTTGGGACGTTGAAAAATTGCAAAGTAGTGTTTTGCTTCAGTTCCTCGCAAAGTGGTCCGAAATCCAGCACCGGGTACGAACCAAGCGACAGTGACCGCAATTTTCCATTTCCTAGCAGCGCCAAGAGCTCCGTGGTCACGTTGTATTGCTGCTTCACGCTCTTTGGGCCACTCTTCGACTGTTCTTCTGGAGCCTTCGTGGAGAAATCTCGTCCAAACACATCCAAAGACACTGCGTTTAGAGCCGGCATGAGTGCAAGATTCGAAATGAGCTTTCGCACACAATCCGGGTGCATAAGGCAGCTAGTAATGGTGAGACTCTGCAAAGGAGACGCTCGGAAAACGTCGGGATTTGGGTTCCACTCCGCCGCGACATCGGTGAACGAGAGCTGCGCCACTTCCACAGTGGTGAGCTTGTCTCCCGCGCTGCAAGTGACCAAATCGAGCATTCGTCCCAGGAACTGCCCCAGCTGGAAACATTGGATACCGCGGTTGAGTTTCAACCCCTCTCGAACGGACTGTAAAAGAGCGGAATTGTCAAGCTTGGCATCGTTCGACGGGCATACCAGACAAAAACTGTTGAGGTTGGTGTTCATCTCTAACGCCTGCTTGAGAGAAAAGCGGCCTTCGGAGTCCATGTCGGATTGTGCGAGCCGGAGTCTCACTTTGTTGGTTGCTGTGGGGTTGTTCTTGAGACAATCGAGGAAAAAAGAGAGTCCCTCGGCAGTCCATTCCATGGGCTCGCAGTGCAAGTTTTGCGTGTGCGCCATAATTCGGTTGAGAACTTGAGCCTTGTCCAAGTCCAAGACAACGGGCTTCCCATAATAGGACTTTCCAACGGTGAATTGCTGCATTACGGGAGCCAAAAGATTGAGAATAAAATACAAGACAAATATATCATATCCTTCGTGGAAAGCATAGTCTAGGGCTGTCATTCCACTGGCAGTCGACAAGACCACACTTTGCGGGTACAGCCCCACCATGAACTGAATAAGGGCAAAGGTTGCAATTTCGTTGCAGGGAATGAATTGTTTCTTGGCCAAGACGCGATGTAGCGGCAGCATGCCATCGCCATTGAACTTGGTCAAGGCGAGTGGATGTGAACGCACCAAAAAAGCCGTGACTTCATCGTAGTTGTCATAGACACAAGCAATGTGGAGCGGCAAATTCTGCTCGCGTCCCTGCGGCAATGCTAGCACATCCGGCCATAGATTGAGAACCTCACGAATGTGCTCGAGTCCAGTTTGTGAAAAGATGAGATGCGCGAGCGGGTGAAAGCTGTTTCCGGTGCAATCGGCAAAGCGTTCCGTGGCCAGAACAGGGAACATACTCAGAGTCTCCAAAACATGCTCTTGGTCTCCCATGTCGCTCCACTCTTCCAGGCTGAAGACAACCTCCAGCTGGACCCGGGCTTCTTCCTCCGTCGCTGGAAACTCATCAAACGGAAGTCCTCCTCGAGCTGTGGAAGATCGAGAGGAAAGGGACACGACAGAGGCTCGACTTGCATTCAAATCTTCTACGGCGGTCGTCTCCTGGTGAGAGGGAGGAGGACCTACCAAGAGTGCTTCCGCCGCAGTCACAAAGCCTTCCATTTTCCCCGTTGCGGCTCTTTTGGCAGATCGGCAGCACTCATCGTCATCGTCGTCAGGAATGGTCGTTGGATTGTCTTGCTCATTTTTGGGGGGCAACGCTGCTGCGGGCTGCTGGTTGCTGCTGCTGGCCAGAAGTAACAAAGCTGCGGCCTCCGTGGTGTTCTCTTGCTTCAGAGATGGAGTCATTGGGAGAGATAGATGATGCTTTCGCCACTAAACGGTACCCGCTACGTGTGATCCGGCAATTGCGTGTACGGGTGTACTGTGAGACTGTGAGGATCTTGAGACGTGCTGATCAGGGTAAAGCGATGACAACACTGCCTTCTCTTGAGCTGTAGAATGGTCTCGTACGGTAGAAAAGGGGGAAAACACAATGGTTCTCCGCTTCTCCACCTGTGCAATGCACCGTAGCTTTTCTACGAGATGTTCCTTCCTTGTTTTTGCTGGTGCAAGAGGGAGAGCAGGAAACAGTCGCTCGCGATCGGGGTCCGGAAGGGCGGGAGCTGCTGTTCGAAAAAAGAGCGAGCCGGACACTCCCCTCCCAAGGCACGTGACCCAGGAAGCAATCTTGAAATCGTAGAAACTTGGTTGAAACATCGAACTTGCCATTGAATTCGGCCTTGCGGATCATTGGAGGGAAGTCACCGATTGAATCGAATGATTCGTTCGATTCAGCTCGAAGCTCGTGATGAACCTAGCTAGTAGCTGGCTAGCTAGCAGCTCCCCTACTAGCTAGCTGCAGTGTAGTTATTCGTTCCGTGGGATCAGGGGGGCGCTAGCTAGCAAGTAGCCAGCCGGTACGAGTAAGAAACATTCAAGCTACAGTAGAATTTATACATTATACCCCGTGTGTACCTGTACTCTCCCAATGTTGGATGCTACACGTATTGTGCTGGGACGACCAATTTCCCTTGAGGGTTATCATTTTTCCATGTCAGCCTGAATGATTATTGTGAGGGGGGGAACATGACTGCTTTGGAGTGCTGATGGGTGGAGATATGAGCACCTATCGGATTGGTTTCAGTGTTCAAAGTTGTGCTGGGGGCGGCAAGATGGGCTGTTGCAGGATTTTCTCAAGGACGGACTGGGTAAGAACGGGCTCTTGCTGTTTCTCTTGTGGTGGCGGGGGCATCGGTGCAACTTGCCGTTCTACCGATACAGTCGACGTGGGAAAGGGGGGTGGATTGTTGTACAGGATAGATTCCAGCAATGCCTCACCAGCAGAACGTGTTGGGTGCAAAGGCAGCTGTTCTGACGCCATTGGTGAAGTCTGAGGCAGCGAGACTGGACGAACCTGACCCACACTAGGAACGAAAAGCTGGAGCGGCGATTGATCGGGGCCCTGGGGGAGCTGGAACTGAGTCGGTGCCAACTCGTGTGGCAATGATTCACCGCTTTGTCCGAACGGGGGATGGCTGGACGTCACAGGTGCAGAGCCCGGCCAGGATCCGGGGAGCTTTAAATGCGCAGTGCCACCGTTGTTGCTATTGTGTCTTTCATCATTAGGCCGTACGATTGACACAGGTGCGAGAGGATCCTGATGGGTGGTTGGCTCCGTCTGTTCCGCGTGCAAAAGCGCTGCGCCGCCATCACCGTAGGCAAACGGCGCCGGAGACAAAAACACATGATCTTCGTCGTCAGCCAAATCATTGGATTTCAATGACGGTCCTTTCATTTGAAACGTGATTTGGGATGGTAAGGGAACTTCCTCTTCTTCCTCTTTTCCATCCTGCGCATTCTGACCAGACTCAGGTACGATATCTCCAACGGCTGGCAAGCCCGACGAATTGTTTGCACTCTCAGTGTCGATGGGTTCAGTCTGTTGAATTGTGACGACATCAGCACCGGAGTGTGGATCTAGGCTGCTTGCCGAGGGCATGCATTGGTCAAGACCATCGTCAGCAAATTCGGCACTCTCGTCTTCCCACAAATGATGATTGGTTTCAAGTTGCATTCCAACAGTGGCTTCCACCATAGACAGCCGCAAGACGCGTTGTAAGGCTTCTTCCTCTTCTTGTTCCGTATTGTTGTCAACCACAGTGGTTTCGTGCATGGACAGTTGCAAAATGCGCTGCAATTCTTCCTCTTCAGAATTTAGCTGTTCCTCCAACTTTGATTGTGACAACACTCTTTGTAGTTCGTCATCATCTTCGTCGTTATAGTCGGGAGGCGACTGCACCCGTGCCTCGGCTTCCTGAAGTGACAACATCATGATCCGTTCCACTTCCTCTTCTTGAGTTTTTGCTGCAGTGGTTGGTTCTAATTGTGACAACGCCATAGCCTGCTCCAACTCTGCTGCTTCTCGTTTTGCTTCTTCTTCTAACTCCATCTGGCTTTTCTTCAGAATTTGCTGCGTTTGATGCTTTTCTTTGTCGACTTGGGAACGATACCGCCGTGAGTCCTCGAGTGATACTGACTTGGCCTTTTCAATCATTTGTGAGTCTGCTGCTATTTCTGAAAGCAGAGGGCTGTTACTGATGCGTTGTTGTGGCGTGGGACGAGTAGATTGTTGAGCAGCAGCAAATGTCTGAAGGTCTTTTCGAATTTTCTTTCCAATAACTTTCTTCTTGTGCAGTGGACGTAACACTGGAGGAGGGGCCAAAACGATGGATTCAGGTCGCTGCATGAGTTTGACCTTTGTGTCTTGGCCGATTGGTTCTTCTAAAACAGCAGCACCAGCACCACCGCCAGCAGCAACATTCAATTCTCGAGCCGTTGGATTGCTCTTCAAGACGTGCCCACTGAGACAATTGACGTAAAAAAATCCCTTCTTCTTCGAATAGCAGAACTCCATTTTCCTCTTGATCAGCAATTTTTGTACTGCCTGCTTCAATATTGGCCCACCCAAAGATCCACTGTGTGCCCCTGTCCCCGTGATCACCATCACCCATGGATTTCTCTGCTTGGCTTGGCGTGCCGACGTCTCAAAAAAATTGGTCACGGCACGAATAGCGGTTTCTTTGGTGTAGCCATGGAGATCGATTGTAGCGAACGGTTTAATCTGATTCTCAGATCGCCCATTCTTCTTCCACGTCAATGAATTGTTGGGCAATGCCCCGGAAGATGGTAACGTTGCCATGTTGTCCGAGGTTGATTGTGATCTTGTGTCATACGTGACGGGTGACTCGACTCAGGTCAAATCGAACTGCCACAACTAAAAACAAAAACTAATTTGGAATGACGCCCAAGAAGGAGACTGGGTGTGGAGGATTGTAACAGGCTAAACTGAAAATGGGTACCTGGTACTCGTCGCATTTTTGTTCGCCGCTGATGAAATTTTTGTGCTGCAGTGCTGCTGTGCTTTGGTGGCCTTGTGCAATCGTTTGTCGTGACTCAACGCACGAAACCTCAACGATCGCAGATCGCAGGCTTAGAACTATTGCGGCCCACTAATGCTTTGAACTCAAAAGGATTTAACCATTGAGACACATTTCCGCGCCAACCTCGACTCAAACTCGACTGACTCGACTAGAATCAACTGTGACTGAAGAGTTTTTCTCGCCCGCCATCAAGCTTGAAATGATGAAGGCACCCACGAGCTCATAAGGCTCTCTGCTGATACCATGGTACTCGTACTTCAGCATCATATGCGTATGAACTATGGTAAGATGTGAAAGTATCTATTACTCAGTACTCCAGTAGTCGTTTGCATATGTGGTGACAAAGAAAGACTTGCGTGAACGTTGTGGGTCTTTCCAAAGTTCTACTGAAGAGTTGTCTGTAGTCTGTAGTGTTTGTGAACAAGAGGCATCGATATGCCGCCACTAAGGAGTACACGTAAAGTGTACTGCTCGGGGAAACAAAAGAAAAGCCTTCGCCATGACATACATTGACTTCGGTCAAACTTGTCGCAAAACTCTTCCTTGTCTGAAAGAAGGGCCTGACTTTGGGCGCTGCAACTCATGTACCTTGGTAATCGTTATTCGAATGGCACAAATATGGTTGCCGTTTTCAATTCTTGCTTGGCCCCAATGAGTACAGTTGCCGCTCTCTCTTCGTACCGGGGCCCTGTCGATAGAGAGTGGAGTGCCCTCGTCGCCATGAAAGTGCGATGAAAGAGTTACACGGCAGGAACTTCACCGAAGGATTTCTTTAGCAATTCCTGAACTTCACCGAAGGATTCTTGTACCAATTCCTGCATTCATCCAACATCAGTACCATAACAACTTCTTGGTTTTGACCACTGCCCAAAAAGGAAACCAAAAACGTTCTTATGCTTAAGTCTCGTTCGGTCCCTCCCCATCAGATGCTCGTCCTAGGTCCCAGGCAACCGGCGCCTTCGAGTGCTGTCTCCTATCTCCTACAGGACTTTGATGCGGCGCTTCCCAAGAAGCCCGCCAGAAGGACTTCGAACGATACATCACTGCTTACGGTGAAGGCGCCTGATGTTGTGTAGCGTGCCCTGAGAGCTACGAACTTTCTGCTGCTTCTGAGTGACAATGCAGTCAAGAATACCTGCAACTGAGTCTAAATCCAACAGAGAACAAACTAGACGTTTCGTTTGGCTTGGCTGGTACTTGGAGCACTCCAGGAGCTCTGGGGGCGCCTGCACAGTTATTACGTTATCAGCTGGCTACAGTCAATTCGATCTTGAGCCTCCTCATCTTTCGTTTCATTTATTTGTTTTGGCAAGATCCATCTTTCACAATCTGGGCTACATGTATTCATCAATCTTCAATCTTATTACTGGAATATGTCTAGCTAGTGTCTAGGTCCTACAGCTGCGTTTTGGTGCTCTTGCCTCTTGAACAGTTCCACTGCCGTACCGGTACCCCGTACCGTACATAGCGAAGAGCTACATGTACCGGAGTTGTTGCGCCCCATTGCTCCCACATAACTCTTACACAAGTACACCAGTTGGTAGCTTGTCTGTGCATTATCAAAGAGATGCCAAGTCCAGAAAGTGTAAGCTGACGATGCGGTGTACAGAAGTCAAGGGAAAGAGCACGTTCCTAAGGCAACTAGTGTTTAACAAAACGAAGATTATGGTTCCTTTTTGCCGTCGCCATGGACATTGAGTGCTCCGAAAAACATTTGGCGGGATCAGACCTCATTGTCCGTTAACCCCAAGAGGTTGACTTGTTTCCTCTTGTTGGGCTCTTGTGAGTCCCTCTCGGGACCCTGTCTGAAGGATCTTGTCAAACAATGTCCCAGCATAATCTTGTTGGGTGACCTTACTGTATCTTTTTTGTACCAATATTTCGTCAGAATGGAAAGATGATTTCACGGATGCCCAAGGTCCAGTTCCTTGGGGCCAAGCGAGGGGCTGTGCCTCGCTTCGCGCGAAGATCTGCGTCATCATCGGACACACTATGTTGACCAGTGCAGTCATAGAGAAGAGTGACTGTACTCTTGAGTACTATAGTCACGAATCACAAAGACAGATGAAGGAAGCTGTTCTCGCTTATCAACCTCCCTCCATTTACATTAGAAGTATGTTGTCGGCATTGGGGGGTGAGATGTTTCCCCAATTGATTGCACCTCTTGCCATTAGGTTCACGTTTTGGTCAGGGCTAGGTACTGTTTGGCACCACTGGAGAGACGCTTTTACACCTACATTTGTAAATCGATTGTCGGAAACAACAGAACTCTGGATCCGTTCGAATCCCTGGAATTCAGGTCGTCACAACACTAGGTGGCTACCTCTCCGTTGCTTCAAAAGGGCTGGCAGGGGTCACCCCAAGGAGGCTCAGTGTATTATCTTATTTAGTCGTCGCGTGGCTTGATCAGTTCATCAGCACAACTCCAATCACATTTCCACTCATTTTCATGCCCGAAGAGGCCTCATAAACGTGTTGATCTGATCTCCGAGATCGGATAGGAAGGACTACAACTCCAGAGCCAGAGCATAAAAGTATGATGCAACGAAACCAAGACGAATTTGGTGAAGTCGCCGAGGTCGGCAATGATACCACTCCGCAACCGGAGGGCGAGGAGCCTGCACGGATCGAAACCAATCCAACGCTCTTGGCGGCTTCGCGCAAGGAAGACGATCCCCATCACTTTCCCACGAAGCTCCATCGGATGTTGGTGGAAATTGATGACAACCCCAAGTATGAGAGCATGAAAGAGCTCATCAGCTGGCAGCCTCATGGCCGTTGCTTCATCATCCGCAACGAAAAGAAGTTTATTGAGAAGGTCATGTCTCAGTAAGTTGAATTGGCATGACAACGAGCAGCACGGTACCGTATGCTCCTGGCATTTGTTGGCCGCAATGCATGTACTAACCCGATATCATCCATCTGTCAATCATCACTGTAGTTTCTTTCGAGTGATCAAGTTTAGCAGTTTTAGGAGGCAGCTGCACTTGTTTGGCTTTCGAAAACTCTCTCGGCAGGGTAAGTGATGGCCCGGTATGGAAGAGTACGGGGCGGCCAAGTACCATGAAACAAGTGTGACTCATATTCCTTTCTCCTATGTTGTTCTCTATGGCTTGCATACTTATTGGATACCAGGTCCGGACAAAGGAGGTGAGTATAGGCAATCCCCCCAAACAGAAGTCTTCCAAACAAGCAAACAACCAAGCTCACGCGTATCCGCTGCATCTACCTTGCTGCCAGCCTACTTTCATGAACAGTTCATCAAGGAGAAACCCGAGCTGGCGGTGCAGATGAGGCCTGTCAAAGGGCAAGGAAAGCGGGGAAGGAAACCCCGCTCAGAAGACCTTGATGCTGCCTTCTACGCACAAAAGAACCTTCCAACGTCTAACCTACTAAGAGGAGACAGCGAACCTACGCACCATCAAGAGTAAGTAGGCCCTGGTTGCAATGGACAGGTGTGTCTGACATAATCCGGGCTACGAGCTAACGGTTGACACTTTCTTACTCTACCGTAGGTTCAAACAAGCCGAGATACCCTCCTTTGAGCTTCGTCCTGATAGCGTTTCCATGCAGCGAATGCCTGCCAGCAGTCTCTTCCATGGTGAAGCCTTTTCCGGTGGCTTTCAGAACCCGCGTGAGCTTCGAAGGCTCGAATCTTTGTCGGGGCAGATCCCAAACACAATGGAACTGCGACAGTTGGGATCCTTGTCGGGGCAAGCCCCACAGTATCAGCACAATCATATGCCCTTCCCATCTGCCATGGATAGACCTTCGCCGCAACAAGCACCAATGGGTGGGCTACCTTTACCAAGTACTTTCCTGCCACAGCCCAACCCCGCCGCTGAGGGAGATGTAGACCCCTTCCATATGCAGCAGCAGGGAGGCTTTGCAGCGGGACTTTCGTCAGATGCTGCTTCTAATAGCTTTCTTCGACAGCCAATGCATCCGACCCAACTTGCAATGGGAGGCCCTCCCCAGCAACTGCAAGACAATATGATGAACTCCCCCTTTCAACAGCAGCAGCAAATGGAACAGCCGTTCGATCAAGATCTCCTTCGGCGGCAGCAGCAGCAATCGATGCAAGCCATGATGAACCGACAGAATGACCTGCCCTTTCAACCAGACATGGACTTTAGTAGCAGCTCTCAGGGTCAGCAGCAAATGTTCCTCCAGCAGCAGCAAATGCAGTTGCAGATGCAGCATCAACAAATGCAGCAGCAATATGGACTGCAACAGAACATGCATCAACAAGAGAGCATTCACCAATCGATGCTTCAGCAGAATCAGCTGTTACAGCAGCAGAATCAACGTATGCTAGAACAACTGCAACAACAGCAGTTTGGGATGAGCAACAACAACAGCAACGAGATGTTCGGAAACGACCATCTCGACCATCAGGGGAACTCCAACTTTCATGATTCCAACAACATGTAATCAATCAATTTCTGCTCCTCCACAATCAATCATAACTACCGGTACGATACAGCAAAACCAGGATAGCATAACCTTCGTAATTCCATTTGAAATATTCAATGTGCTCCAAATGCGTGACAATTTAGACCACTCGATTGGTGCCGGTAGCTTGACGGTCTCTCCAAGATTCCACCATCTACCAATTCTCAAATCAGGTATTTGGAACCGGTACAAGCTTACAGAATAGTCACGTGTACCGGTCAGCATGTCTCATAGACTTAGGAGTGAGCTTTTTGTACTGACTTGAAGATTTAGAGGAGGCATTGAAGGCTGGTGGGTGCTGGGTTTGTCCATTGATACCGGAAGCGCGAAGATGACCGCAAACAACAGCAAAGGCAGGCACGAACGGGCATCAACACAACCATCTCTTCAAACTTGTACCGAGTTTACCCTTGTCAGAGGCAGTCCAAGTTTGCTTTCTTTGCATAGCATGGTTATCGTTCCGAATTGGAATGGTCAGGACGATCTGAGTTGAATTGAGAAACCTTCGAGGGGTGTCTACACTGTAGCAAGCAACGATCCCTTTGGACGAAAGAACAGGAAGACGCAACGGTCAATTCCGTCATCTTGCAAGATAGTCTCGCCTCGGCTACTACCGGTACCTTCTGACTGTCGCTCGACTCTGAAGGTAACGATCATAGAAATCAACAATCTGCAGCCATGCCAGGGCACGGCAGAGACGCCATTTCAGTTGCCTCCAGTAGGCATGCATCGACTACCTCTGGAAGGCGACATTCCACGGACCCGGAGAGATTATCGAGCAGCAATCACAGAACCAGAGGCAGAGAAGGCAGGAATTCCCAGCGTAGAAGCACCAGTGTCGCCGCTGCAGCAGATAGGGAAAGCAATCGTGACGCTGCGCTGCGCAAGAGAACTCCCAGCACCAAGCCCAATCATACCACTAGTAGTAGGAATCGAGAGTCGAGGAGAGACCGGGAAGAAAACCGATCTCGACAGGCCAGTGCCTCCAGACGTAGTGCCAGTCGAGCCAGACGAGGAAAGAGTCGGTCCAAAACAGATGCTGATTCGTCCAAAAAGAGGAGCAGTCAGCCAAAGCAAGCAAACACACCCAAAGAAAAGAAATTTTGGGGACGAAAAGACGCAGCGGCTACTCCGTTGACACCCACCCGCAAAAAGAAAGCTCCCATTCGAAGAACAAGATCTTATGAAAGCATAACTGATTCAGGCGCTCCCAGAAAAGGAGGAAACCGAGGTAGCTGGGCGTCTCCTGCTGCCCCCCTGGTGGATGAGAGAGGATTACCGATGACTTCCATTGGTTGTGCTCCCGTCGCCTCGCTGCGGACCGTAAGCCCCAACAATGTGGAAACCGAGGACTTTGATGTCATGTACGCACGAAAATTACAAGACCGAGAGAGCTCTAGTAGGCGTTCTAACCTGGTAAAACGAAGGAGCTGCAGCAATTTGGATGACCGCAATAATCTACCGGCTGTGGAGGACGACCGCAAGATGCCGGCCAAGAGAAGAGCCCGGTCTTGTAGACGCAAAAGCACCAGAGAGACCAATGCCGCACTGGTCCCTTTAAATCCAGAGGAATCTCTGCAGCGAGGAAGACGCGGAAGCTTGAGAGGAAAAGACCCTCCGTTGGTACCCATGAATCCAGAGGAGTCTTCGCTTCGGCAGCGGCAAATCTTGCCACGCGTAAACCGAAGTGATTGCGCTGGGGAAGCAAAAAAATTTGCCCAGAGGCTGCAGACTGTCCTTGAGGATTGTCCTGTGGTTGCCTCCCAGAACAAACGGTTGTTGCAGCTCTTTGCTTCAGTACTTACTGACAAGGAATTGATAGAGCTTGCTGTGGCCATGCTTCGAACGCAGGATCTTTTCCGTCAGCAAGGGAAACCCACGAGGGTCGACGTGGCGTATCACTTTTGCCGTGGCAGCAACGTTAAGCGCATCCAACAGCAGCCGGGGTTATGGGCCAAGATTCAGGAGAGGGGAGTAAACAAGAGTCAAGACGGGGACGGGATCTTCACATTCAACAACCCGCTTTCAACCCCGGGACAAGCTGGGGCCGCAGACGATGTCTGGATGCTGGTTGCCAGACTTCAGGGGAATACCTCGCCTTTTCCGTCGTCCTCTTCCGGGAGAACTCGCAGAAAATGGAATGGCGAAACTGATGCTTTAGTCCGTCAAGAGGAAGGCGTGATAGTCTTGAGGGCGTCGACCCAATTCTTTCCCTTGATGCAGTTTCGATCATTGGTGCTGAAAGACAACAATGATGGGTCTGGCCGTATGAATGGCATTCTTGGGCAGGTTCAGGCCATGCATGAAAGCCTGCAGATCCTTTTGGACGATGTATTCCAAGCCGGCAGACACGCAGTCGACAACTCGCCACCAGCCAGCCCCGACAGAGCGAGTGCGCCAGAGACTACCGGTGCAAAGAGGCCCGCTTCGAAGCCAGATCAACCTTCCCAAGAAGACAAGAGAACCACGAGGCAAGGACCAACTGTAGAAATGCAGGCTCCTCCCATCTCCAATCCACCCATTGAAGCGGCGGTATCCAGCGCACCTGATCAACCATTGTCATTTCCCGAACGAGTCAAGGCGATATCCAACCCTGCTGCATGGGATGTAGCTGGCGAGGTTCAAAGTGTCGTTGAGGAACATGCGATGGCAGCAAAATTTGTGGACGGCGGTTCGTCTGAGCATCCTTTCGAGGTTCAATCCGCAGTATACCTGGAAGAGATGGCTGTGTTGGCAGAAAACATGTTCCGAACACAAGAGAAGTTTCGGCTCCATCAAAAGTCAGCATATGTCAACATTGGCTACCACTATTGCCGCGGTCAGAATTTGAAAAAGATGCAACAGAAACCTGGGTTTTGGTCAAACATACAGTCCCGTGGTTTCAGTCGAAGCGAGGATGGCGATGGAATTTATACCTTCAACAATCCGCTTGGCGCCAGAAGTAGAGGCAACAGAGGCTTCTTTGACCCGAGGCAATCGGTCGGCCAAGATGACGATGTTTGGCTGCTGGTGGCTCGCCTGCAAGGAGAAAGGCAACCCGCGCCATCAAATCCTATCTCCCCGAATGCTGCCCGTCAATGGGGTGACACTGTTGATTCAATGGTCGTCGGGGGTCTCCAGTCCGAGGGCATCGTGGTACTGAGGACCTCAATTCAGTTTTTCCCGTTGCTTCAATTTCCTGCCTCTGCTACCAATTCGTCATCCGGAAGTTACCGAGATGAGACTATACAGGAGCTGCAGATGATACACCAGAGGCTACAAAGCATCTTGGATAGGTTCTTTAACGACGACAGCTGTGCCACTGTACCTCGAATCAATGCTGTACGCCTCCCTTCGGTCCAGGAAGAAATGTTGAATTATGAAGCACCCGAGACGATGGATGTCTCGAACAGTATCCAGAGCTCTACTCAACAAATATACAAAGTGCTCTCCAACAACAAGAAAGCCATGAATGACGATTGTTCCATCTGCCTTGATTCGCTACGCTGGACAAGCCATCAGCAAACCGTCCGGCTGAGGAATTGTGGTCACGAGTTCCATCGAGCTTGCCTCCACGAGGCGTTGGATCATTTTGACGTTTGTCCACTGTGCAATGTAGCAGTGACGCCACAAGCACCACAATCTTGTCTTCAGGGTTTGTCTCCCTCTGGCATAATGGTGGCAACAGCATCATCTCATGTGTTCTGCGAGGGCTGCTGGGCACCCAGCGGGAGCCTCATACTCTCATACTTCCTACCTGCAGGGCGTCAGAAAGTGTACCACGAGAGTCCTGGGGCGACCTTCTCGAGCTCAGACTGGAAAGCTTTCCTGCCATACAATGAACAAGGTGTGAAGCTGCTGAGGCGGCTTCAATACGCCTTTTTGAACGGCCTCATTTTCACCGTGGAATCAACGGCTTCGTTCGCAGCATCTGCAGGGCAAACGACTTGGTCTACCATCCCCCACAAGACTCGTAGCTCAGGAAGCACCCCAGGAGTTGACGACGATAGGGGCTTTTTGGATCCAACGTACTTTGACCAGTGCAATCTTGAATTGGATCGTTGCGGTGTGCCAGATCCTTTAGAATGTGAACGATTCGTACTCTCTATGGGACAGGAAGAGGATAAAGAGGCCGCTAATAAATCAGACGACGAGGAGTCTCACGAATCGATCTTTGACCAAAAGCCTTGCGCAATGCTACAACAAAACGAACTGGAAGATTGCACCAGAATCTTGAAAGGACTAAAGGAACATCCATGTGGTTGGATGTTCTGCAAGACACTGCCACAGCTCGTTGGGAAGGTAGAGAATCCTTTAGATCTGACCATGATTGAGCAACGGCTGGCCAGCAATGAATACTCGAGCGTGGAGGGGTTCCGTCACGACGTGGTCATGTTGTTTGATGTTGCCCTCGCCCACCACAGCAAGGAGAATCCCGTGCACTTCATGGCAAAGCAGCTCAAAAAGCAATACAAGAAAGCCATGCAACAGGGGCAATAGAATCTTGTGGTTCTGTGCAGTTCTCGAACGTTGTTTCGTGGCTTTGGTCGACGGCGCCTCATTAGCGGACTTTTAAGATGGCTTGAAGCCAATTTAGAATATTTGTGCTACTAGTAGCTATAGCTAGTACCAGATACATGTACCGGTGTAAGAAATGGAGTCGAGTCAGTGCGGCTTTTGCTGAATCGAATCTTTTAAGATACTTCCAGTACCTGGTATCGGTACTGTACCTACAATTTGCCAGCTCTCAACCCCTTTTGCCAGCCGTTGCCAGTCCCACGTTAAACGCCTTTCCAGCTGTCAAGCGAGGAAACAGTGGAAACAGTTAAGCCCGTCGATCCAACATGATCCGAACAAGATCTGGCCAGATCCGACATCACCAAAGACAGACCACCGTGACCAATGCCAACAACCAATTGGGTCTGATGCTTTTGCCACCTCCTTCCTCACACAAGCATCCCACAAGTACTCTACCAACCTTTCCAAACTCCTCCACAGCCCCACTGACCTTCATACCAAGTTCCTACTCTTCCACAGTTGTGCCATTCCATCAGTCCAGCACCTTCTCACAGCGGATGTCTACCATCACTGCCAAACTCAGGATGCTACCACCATCGATCCCTTTCACTGGCAGTCCACCTTCCAAGCCTCCATCACCCAGGCTAACCACAATTTCATTGCCCAACTTGCCTCTGTTGATGCCCTACCCCCCCCACACCTTTCATATACTCCAACACCCTGTATCATCTGGTGGCCTGGTGCAATACACGGCTCTTAGCCTTATTCGCGACTCGATCCTAGATAGGGTTTGAGTTCGACTCATGACTGAGTCTTTCGTGAATAGTCATTGAGACAGGGTTCTCAATGACCGCTAGTCATACTAGGTCGATGAGAAACATCGCGCTAGATATTTAGCTGCGTGGAGAGATTCCACGCTACTAGATAATGCTAGACGAATCTTCCACGCGTTCCGTTTTTGATCGTGAGTGAGTAGGATCGCTACCGAACCTACTCTATCACACTCTACAGTCTCCCGCGGGAGTTCAGAGATCTACGATCCTTTGATTGTGATCTCTTCTCTCTCGTTGATTAGTTTTCATAGCTTTCTAATCCTCTCATAACTTTCATTCTCTCAAACTCAAAACACTCGAAGATCTTTACACTAGCTTTTAGCGTAGTGCACTGGGCACCCGCAACAATGTCCTTTCTACCATCCCAGCCTTCATTGTGTCTACCACCCGAAGCCTCCGCTATGCCACCGTTGGAATCCCCACTGCCGACAATCAAGCCATCACCATTCCCCCACCTACTCTCGGGCTCTTTCTTCATGGCAAAAGCCCTCCACTACGATTCCCATCTTCCGCCTGTACACCAAGCTAGCCCCCCTCCTTCTCTCATCCTACAATGGTACCAAACCTCCTGACTCCCACATCCACTCCACCCCCACCTTTGTCACCGACTCCCATCTCCCTGGCATGGCTTCTTCCATCTACAAACAACAATGCCTCAAGTCTTTGCAAACCTACCTTCCCACTACACCCCCTGCCACCCAAGCAGTCTTCCCCTCCATCCTTTCCCACTTCACCAGCCTTCCCTTGAGATCCCACAACCGTCGGTTCCCAGATAACCGATTGAATGACAGCATCTTCCTTGTGCTCCTGGCACGCAAGCTTCGACTTTCCCTCCTACCCCCCGCGCTTGTCAATCTTCCGTGCTCCAGGTGCAACAAGCCTTTTGATCAGTTTGGGGATCACTTCTTTGGGTGCACTGCCTTTAGTAAGAAGCGGTTCAGTGATGGAGCTAGAGATGCCCTGTACCATGTCTCCTCTCACCTTGCACCTATAGCCAAGTTTACCCACTCCTCCCATGCAGTCACCTGTGAAACCACAGGCCTTCTCGACCACCAGGACTTTCCCAATCAGTGCCCAGCTGATGTGGATCTGGCCCTCCAACCTACTGCACTTACTACACCACCACCACACCCTGCATCCTTCCTTGCCATTGATGTAACTGTGACAATAAGCTTGCCTGCCCAACCTGGACCCAGATCTGTTCCCAAATCCCTCCTTCCCAAGATCCACCTCCAGGCCACCAGGCTCAAGCTGTCCAGCAAGTCTAATGTCACCCCACACATCTACTTCCAAGCCCTCCTTCAGTCTGGCATCATCCTTCTACCTTTCACTATTGACCCCTACCTTGGTCTTGGCAATCCTGCCTATTCCTACCTGTATGGCACCAACAATCTCCCATTCCCCCTACCTACAGAGACTTGGATCAACAACCTACCACCTCATAGCTTCACTGCCTATACCCAACTCCAATCTGCTCCTGCTGGTCTTCTTCCACTGGCAGACAAGCACTACACTACACCCCTCCCCCCAACCTGGATACCACAATCACCCCACTCTCCCCATCCAGATGGGCTCACCATTCACTGGCACTCAATTTGTCCACTCACCTTGGGAACCACATCCTTAGATCCATTGCCACTGCTTCCTCTACCCTCTACTCATCAGGAACTACCCCTGCAGACCCCCTGGCTGGCCTCTTCCAACCCCGCCACTTCAATGCACCCCTTGATCCGTTCCCCCACTACCTTCAAGCTGGCATCACTTAGTCATTTCCCCCTCTACTAGTGTAATTCCATAGTAATCTATATATATATACGAAGTAAAGCACTCCAATGGATCAACCCAACCTCAGGTAAAGCATCGATCAACCCAACCTCAACCCCACAATTATTCAACAAGGCGAGAGGAGCCACTGCACCGGACGATGCCTCACCATGTCTGATTCGGATGATGAGGAAAACCCACAGGTCTTCATGGTTGATGCCAGGCCTGTCTATTCACGTCGGCAGCCAACAGACGGAAGAAAGCCCTCAAGTATTTCAACCACTTCCTCAAAGGGTACTGTGTTCAAATTGGGATTGACATTGTTGAAGCTGATGCAATTCCCTATCGTGGCATCCCTCGCAAGGCATCCAACAAAGCTGTCTTTGAATTCTGGGACGAAATGTTTGGAAACTTCATCTACTACATGGCCAACAAGACTAACCTTGCTCAAAGCAGCGCGGGACAGTACTGCTCAGGAGTCAAAGTCTTCTTTATCAACAAGTTCAGAGCCGAAACCGAAATCCCAATCTTCCAAAAGGGTCCATGGAAGGAACTCAACAAGAAGCTTGCTGGATTTTACCACGAATCCAACCGCGCCACCAGCAAACGGTCGGAAGGCAAGGCATCAAGCACCCGCCAAGATCGTGAAGCCATGGCAACCGCGTGCATTTGGCTTAAAACACCACAATACGCTGAATTCTGGCACCTCCTCGATACTAGTTACCATTGCTGTGGACGCGGCAGTGAAATATCCTTGATCAAATCAAAAGATACAAAGGCTGCTGAAGTCAACGAATTAACCTACAATTACCATGTCCTTTCAGTTTACTGCCAACGTCGGAAGCACAACGAACCACAAACCCTCCCAAGCTACCCTCATCGGGATGGTATTATGGAAGACTTCTACTTTTCCCTCCTCCACCTACTTGTATTGAATGGCTGCAACAACGAGTACACCTTTCCAATCTTATCCAAGGCCGCCCTGAAGACAAAGTCAGGCAAGTCTGACAGTAAGGTATCTAAAGAGTGGACCAAGCTCTTCGATCAGCTGCGGAGCACCTTTGAATTCTTAGCAGACGAGATAAACGAGGAACTCTCCTCTCATTCGAACAGGAAAGGATCCAATCAAGCCATGGCCGAATGCCTCAATTTGAACGGCATGGCAGGGATATTTCGAACCGGTTCGTCCCTCGGCGTATCCATTCGGCGTTCGATTACATATTCGGTAGTCTCAAAATGTCCCATCAAGCAGGCAAATTCCTGTGTAACTGGTCAACCAAGATCGGTGATGTAATCGTTGGTGGCCAACCTCCCACCTTCGACGATATCGAGACAGATGTCGACGTCCTCAAAAAGTTCACCAATGTGATATTTGAAGATGACACTGCACTACGCTAAAAGCTAGTGTAAAGATCTTTCGAGTGTTTTGAGTTTGAGAGAATGAAAGTTATGAGAGATTAGAAAGCTATGAAAAACTAATCAACGAGAGAGATCCACAATCAAAGGATACGTATAAATCTGAACTCCACGCGGAGACTGTAAAAGAAGTGACATAGAGTAGTTCGCGTAAGCAATCCTAACTCACCACAAGATCCAAAAACGGAACCGTGGAAGATTCGGCTCTAGCCATTATCTAGAGCACGGGAATACTCCACCTGGCTAAATGAATCTAGAGGCGTTGCATCATCAACCTACATGTAATACTAGAGCGTCATTGAGAAACCCTGCTCTTCAATGTACTATTCAACGAGAGCTCAAGTCAATGAGTCGAACTCAGACCAAACTATCTGGGATCGAGTGCGAATAATGCTAAGAGACGTGTATTGGATTCGCCCCCTGAAAAGGGTTACGGAAGGCACGACATCATTCGGAAAAGGAGAACATATAAATTAAAGTGCGGGGCACACACCGGAGATTGGATGTAGAAAAGTGCGTCGCACGACAATCCTACAGGATCATGCTTGTATGGTGAAATCTTATGTCAAAGCGTAGCGTAAACTTGTGCCAGCTACTGGGCATTATAGTCGAGCCGTAAGCCCTTGTATTGACTCGGTCTTGTGAAGGACCTGTGCTTGGCTGACCGAAACGGTTCGATACTGATGAAGCGATCATAAGTACATTCGTTGACATAGGGTGGACAGGAACAGCGTTCAGGGTTCCCTATACCGGTTTTTCTGGATACAGTCGCTTGCGACGTTCCTTAATGATTTACGGTTGGCTTGAAAAAGGAGTGTGAGCTGTCACTATCGCTGCCGTAATGACTGCGGACGTAAGTCTCATGCTTCATTGCCGCGAGAAGTCTTCCGATCCTCCGGCCGGCGGAACTCACCCTTCGCACCCATTGACAACCGGTCATGGAAACTGAGTAACCCAAGCTGACAAAAC